GGGGGGCGGGTAAAAGTAGAGGGAAAGACTGCTTACCATGTCACGCAAGTTCTCTCGCTTTCTTGACTGTGCGCGCATCCGAGCGGCACGAGCATAATTCACAATAACGCGCAAAGAAGCCTATACATTGTCAGACAAGTAGCGGCGACGAATATACAACGAAGAGTTCCCACCTGCGGGGGGGACGCTCGCAAACGCCCGCATCAGCAACGCCAGCAGCCAGGCCTCTGATGCTCGAACGAATTTCGGATATACGGTAGACGACCATTCAGAGACGATACGCGCGGCGAAAAAACAACGGGCTGCGGCGGTGGGCTGCTGCTGCTGCTGCTGCTGCTGCTGCTGCTGCTGCCAATCGCTGTAGAGATTGTCGGGCTCCTACCATCAGGCCACATGAAGGGACCAATGGAGGGGAACGCCAGGCTACTTTGGCCGCCGTGATCATGGCTCGTCTCGCCATTGCGAGTCTTTCGTATCGCAGCGCCTGCAGTGTTGCTGCTGGATGGCCGCGCGACCAAAGTGGAGATTCCCATTGGGTCGTGTCTGGCCGCAGAGATTCCCGATGGGTCGCGCGTAGCTAGATGGGCATTGTAATCGTGGCGCTGTGCGGAGCCAGCGTCGCGCGGACCATCACAGTCGCTGATTGCGTCGTCTTGGCGCCTATAATCGGTGCGCCCCTCTTCGGTGTTCCAAAAGGCTTTGATCAACCCTGCGTGCGCGCCGCCCACGGACCAAGGGGAGGAGGTAGGACTGACATGCTGGCTGCGCATCGCTTCCCCGTCGTGCGGCGTAGCAGGCGATGGAGCGCTAGCAAGACTCTCCCCACTGAAACTGGACCGAATGGCTGCGGGGGTGTCTGGACTGGCACACTGGATTTCGCTGATCCGAGGACTTTGCGCATAGAAGGCACGCAAAGCGCTCAAGTCGTCGCCGAGATCCAGCAAGAGGGTACGCCGAGAGTTGTTCCGGTCTTGCTCGGCGTGGTAAGTACGATGATGCGATGATGAGTGTGTACTTTGTGCATCGTCTTGGCTCTTTGCGGAGGACCGACGTAGTACGGCAGCCGAAGGGTCCTGCTGTTCGAATCGATGAGTTGAGGATGAAGCGGCGCCAAAATCTTTTTGATGAGCGGGTGGCTTTGCATCAAGGTAGGTCTGATGGCTTGACGATATGGACGCACCAAGATCGTCTTGAAGACTCGACGATCGCGTCACACCAAGGTCTCTTTGATCACTCGAGCATCGTTTTGCACCAATGCTGTTCTGCTGACTTTGAAGAGCTGCTCCTTTGCACACACGAATCGGCATCGCGGCTGAAGGGCATTGCCCCTCGAGCAAAGCTCCAGCTCCGTGTCTCCGTTTTGGAACATTTGGCTGCTGCACAGGCAAGTGGCAGCGCGATGTATCGCGGCCGCCATCGTTCCTCTTGCAGCTTGGCGGACGCTTGCGCTCCTCAGATCTCGAGGAACGCAGATTGACAAAGGACTTGGAGGGACGCAATGCGGCCGCCACCACTGACGCTTGAGATGGTGTCTTGGGCATGTCCGCACTCTTCCCTTTGCGCCTCAACGACACGGCAGAGAGGACGCGCCGGATTCCTCGCGGCTGCTGGTGTTGCTTGTCGTCGAACGCGTTAGCCATTGGTACACGAGCGTCGGGAAGAACCGCCGACATCTTGCGCTCTCTGAGAGCACCAAGCTCTACTAAGCTGCTGGTAATGCTGACCAGATCTTCCATCGATATGGCCGACCGCTGCGTCGAAGTCCGCGCCTCGCTCGTCTCTTTGCGACTCTTTGACGAGGTGGCAATTCGCTCAGCACCAGATCGTGCCGGGTGCGCCTTTGAAGGCTGAGTTGCACGCTGGGATACCTCCGATGCGCGTTTTTCGGTCTCGCTGCCGCCGCTCGACGCCTGACGAATGGACTGATCCGAATGACTTTCTGACGCGAGGGTTCCGGCATGGTCATCGCGCGGATCCCTTCCTGGCGTTTCCTCCGTAGCTGGCGCTCTCGTCGAGGAAAGAGCCTTCATCTCTGAGGCAAAGTCGTTGAGAATGGCCTGCACATCGTCTTTGGGTCTTGATGACATGAGCAGATCATCGACACCGCCGGCATTCACTTGCGAATCAGGACTACCAGCTTTACTAGGTGCGGCTTGCTCGATGTCGACACGTGTGGCCGCTGTGTCGCTCTGCGCATTGTTGGTCAACGATGGATTGGCATCCTCCGTTGTCCTTCGCTCATCAGTAGAGGTGCTCAGGGTGCCGTCAGCCGGCCATGGCAAGTCGGGCAAGTCTTTCTCCTGCGATGTTGCGCCAGGCGCAACCCGCGAGCTCATCACTTCGAGATGACTCGATGGTGCATCGCGCTCAACGGAGGTGCCTAGAGCCATTGGTGCTTCTCTTCGTGCTTGCATCACGTTGTCGTGCTGTCGAAGCCAGCTTGTGATCTCGCAGCTGGCCATCGCATTACGGCTCGGCGCTTGCACGCATGCCCTCTGCCCCAGCTTTGTATAGCCCGCGTCGTTCGAATCTGCCGCTGGATCAGGATCACCGTGCACAAACTCTCGAGGCAGGAGATTCGTAGCGACATTCCCACCCTGAAGCGTTTGCATGCGAGGTGCACTCGACCAGATTGCCGAGCCGAAGATGAGATCAGCCTCGGCAGCAATTGGACTCGGCTGCAATTCGCTTTGCGACTGTGTTGCGCGCGACGGATCCAGCATCGACCTGCGCGCATCGAACGTAGCCAGATTCTGCTGCGAGACAAGTGGCGTTGGATCTTGGCAAGGTTCGCCAATTCTGGAAGTGGATTGCTCGTGCGCCCCTGCGCCTCTAGAGCCTCTGGCCGGGCTCGCTGGTCGCGACTTTCGAGCCGTCGATTTGGGAGGCAGCGGAGGCGGTTTGCTAGGGTCGGGCGCTAGTTTTCCTTCGGATGCACCAATCACAGTCGCTGGCAGTGTCTCACGAGACTGCGAAATACTCTGCTTCTCTTCCTCCACGAAGACGGGCACCGATTTTCTCTTTAGCGTAAAACGTGGCTCCGGCGAGCTTGTCACGCTCTCTGTGATTGCGAGTAGCGGACGGGTGGTCAGCGCGCAGCTTCACGACGAAGCGTCAGCTTGCAGCCTCCGGCGAATCACTCACCACGGCTTGAAAGCGCGATAGGACGACCTAGTGCAGATATCGCAAAGTCACCAGCGCAAACGTCCACTCGAAGGTTCGAATCCGCTTCAGTCTGGCTACGCGTCGTAGAGTTGGTCTGTGCGCTGTAGGCGAATAGCATCGACTCGCCCAGCGAACGCCTCTTCGCTCGCGTCGATGTGTTGGACGTGTACTTGTTCGCCATTCTTGTCGAGCTAGCTCTCACCGTCGACACTGGTCTGAGCCTGACCGGTCTCGGTGGCGGAGTTCTAGGCCGAGCGAGGATGCGGCTGTGGCGCGTGCGCGCACTGGCCTGGCTGCTGGATCGTCCCAGAGCCGCGTACCTTGATAAGGCAGCAGCATACATTGCTTGGCCAAGTGACGAGTCCTTCTGAACGGGAGATGGCGGCTCAGACTCTTCCACCAGACTCGCCAAGTTGCGGTCGCGAGGGTGAACAATGTCGAGGAGAGGCATCGACTGGGAAGAGGCTATCACTGTGTCCGCGTTGGGCTCGTGTCCGCGTAGAACGATTTGGCCAGCGGGGAGTGTTGCGGAAGTTCGCAGACGGTAAGCGTAATCAAAGACTGACATTGGCGCGACAGCTTGCTGGGTCTCGAGCTCTGGTGTCGCATCCTCAGCAGAAGACATCGGCGACATGTCGAAGTTGGAGCGCGCGCTCAGCATCCTCGTTGCGAGTGGTGTTGCAGGATGTGCGGGTAAGACCGAAGGCGGGTACGATGGAGCAAAGACATCGTCAAATGGAATCGCACCTCCTGGCAGAAGGTGGTCGTAGCAGCCTCCGGCCCTTTTGCTAGCGTCGAAGCGAGCGTCCGGTGCAGACCGTCTGGCATCATAATTGGGCCTGGCATGAGACGCCTCGCCGTTTGCACCAAACGACGGATCATCAGCAGTCCAGTCTCCTGAATGGTGGCCACGTGACGAGTGCATTGGAAAGAATGGAATGATTGGAGCGAGCTCGGAGTGCGTCGTGCGGATGCTGTCCGGGGTGCTAGAGGTGGCGATGATGGATGTAGAAGCAGACGAAGTGTCCGAAGCCGCCTTGTCTGGTGTCTGCAGAACGCTGCCGGATGGGGAAGCATCGAATATCGAGGATCTTGCAGGTGTCTGGACTGACCGCGCTGGTGAGACGGCGGATGAGGCGCTGGATGCACGGCCAAATGAGGAGGGCGATTTGCGGGTGAGCGCGCGCTGCGTTTGACGAGGCGGCGTGATCATCAGCGACCAGTCCTGCGAGACGGTCCGCCGCCTCATGAGGGACTGTGAAGATGATGCGCGATTGCTATTGTTGAGAGACACGTCGTCGCGATTGACAGAGCCCACGGAGAAGAGGCTTGCGCGCTTGTCCGGATTGCGTAGAGAAACGTGATGCTCGGAACTGCTTCGAGGACTGTCGATTGGCGAGCTGCTGGTGCTGGTGCTGCTGCCGCTGCTGTTAGCGGAGCGAGTGGTGCGCGCAGGACTGGGCATGACGCCCAGCTCAGAGATGAATGTGGTGGGGCGAGCGGTGGCATTGTGCACAGCCGTGCGGGGCGGTGTGCGCGGGCCGCCGGCATACGAGCGATTATTGCTGCTGCTCGGAATGGATGGTCGAGAAGCGGCAAGTGCGGCCACCATGGTTCCGCCTACGATCCTTGTGTGTCCTCGTGGGGTGTATTTGAGGCGGCGCTGTACACCGGAACCGCGGACTGAAACTAAAGAGCGCGGGAAAAAGCCGGACGAGCTAGCTGGGGACGAGATGATGATGGCGAAGAGCAAAAGGGTCGATGGCAGGACGAACATGAAAGTGACGAGTGAGAGCGAAGGTTGGATGCCTTGGCAGAGCAGGAGAGCAGTGACGAGTGCAAGCGACACGCACTTGCGGCGTCATCTGGCAGTCGTGAGTGTGAGTGCTGCTACACGCCTTGTTGGCTGCGTGCCTGCCTGCCTGCTGGCTCGGCTGCGAGTGCGACTGCATGTCCAGAAGAGCACGAGTGACGAGTGACGAGCGCGAGTGGAGAAGCAAAGGGGGGCCAGTCTGATCGAGTCAAATGAGGGGGGGCGGGGTGAGTGAAGCTGCCTGTAGCGGTGAGCCACCCGGAGTGAGCGTTCTGGGTGGTGATGCAGGGAGCTAGCTGAAGCTGTGACTCACGACTCACGACTCACGACTCACGACTCACGACTCACGACTCACGACTCACGACTCACGACTGTCAGTTGAGTGTAGATCCATCCTTCCTCTCCAATTCCACCGCCACGCCTGGGCGTAATGTGCCATGCCATGCCATGCCATGCCATGCCATGCCAGGGGTTTCGCTGATACCAACGGATCTGGACACTGCATATCGTGAGCCAGCCGCGGGAGTCAAGAGTCGCGAGTGCATATGGGAGTGCGGACCGTGTAGCAAGGCGCGCTTCCACGCCTCGCCTTATTGCTTACTCTTGGAGTACAAGTTCATCATCTTATTCACAAATGTTGCAACACGCATGGGCAGCCATGAAGTTGTGAGTCGAGTGCACAGGCTGCGGCTCACGTACCTTTGCACCGCCATCATATCAAGTCGATTCTGATTCTGATTCATGAGTCACCCGCGGTTGTTGTGATTGTGATTGGCGTGCATCCGCGTGCATCCGTGCATCCGTGCGCGCGCGGGGCGATCGCGATCGATCGATGAAGCTGCTAATCGTGAATAATAATCAAATGATTGGTGGCCGCGGATGGCGTTGCATGTATGCTGGTCTTCAATCACAAATCAGCTGCAGCGACGCATGATATCCCTCCTGCGCAAGTGAGTCGATCGCAACAGTGTGAGTGAGTCGTGAGTTTAGAATCAAGGGCCGGTCTTGCTATATGCATGCGCATGCCTGCCTGCCTCTGCCACCAAAGGACTTGAACATTCATGTAGCATGCCGCGTGCACTGCTAACCTGCCTTTTCGTCTGTTGTGTCCCCTCCCCTGCCCCCCTCTCTCTCCCTTCTCATCTCATCAGCTTCATCTCCCCTACCTCCTCCAGCGGCGCTTGCTGAACTGTGATGGCGAACATTTGGATAAGCTAGCCGGGCGGGCGAGCGGACCGCAAACCAAACCCCCCGCCCGCCCCTTGCGATTAGTGCGCGCTGCTTCTGCATCCCTCCATCGCTCGCTCAACGGTCGACGCGCATGCATGCATGCACACGCTATTGCGCCGTCTGAAAGCTGCCCGCGTGAATATTCTCGACCGCGAGAACTCTTGTACGGTACTATACTCACGTGAGTCGTGAGTTCGCGCATCAATTCGTGACTCGTGACTCTTCGCGGCTTGCGAGTCGATCGGTTGATTCACATTGATTGCATGCACCGCTCGGTAACACTCGCTCACTCACGCTCACCACTTCGTGACTGACGCGCACAGCACAAACAGCCTGCCGTGCTTGTCCTTCCACCCAGGTGCTGCTTTCCTTTTCAGCCCCCTCATCACACCTCGCCTGCTCATCGCCCCATCGCGGTCATTAGCCAAGCCCCGCACGACGCGATGACGAGAGTAGAGGCAGGTAGTGCGACCACAGCTGATGCTGGACCCAGCTCCATGAAGCTTTCCAACGCATCGGCAGCAGCATCGGCAGCAAGCACGCCTTCTACGCCTCGAGAGCACACGCAAGCCACCTTTCGACCTCTGCTCAAGTCCCTCGTCCTCTCGCTCGGTGCTCCTGCCTCTGCTGGTGCGGCTGCTGCCGCTTCCGCATCTCCGTCAGCCAACGGCGCTCCCTCTACCGCCTCTTCTTCCGCGCATGCACGCCCCGCACCGCCCCGCCCTGGTCGAGATGAGGTGGAGGAAATCCTGTCGCACTTGAGCGACGTGTCTTTCACCGCCAATGCCGAGAACCACGCCATGCTGGGCGCCGCTTTGACAGCGCTCAGGATATCAGGGCTGGACTGCCAAGCATCCACGCTGGCTGATGCCGCCAGGCTCTTTCTCTGTCGAGCGGTGGATTTGGGGAGCAGCGTGGATCGCGTCGTTGATAGGGAGCAGCAAGGAGCAGAGTACGATGGCTATGTAGACTTGGTGGGCACAGGAGGCGATGGACAGGACACTTTCAACGTATCCACCACCGCTGCCATCGTCGCTGCAGGCGTGCCTGGTGTCCGCGTAGCAAAAGTGAGTGACGAATCGCGTCCATCATTTGACCTCTTGCGCGCAACGGAAGATGTCCGACTTTCCCAGCTGAATGCTCTGCCTTGCCATCTCACACCCAGCACGGCGCACGCGCTTCATCTTCGACGTCAGGCTCAGCAGATTTGCTCATCTCGCTCGGCATCCCCTTGACGAGCCTCTCTCCGTCTCAGCTCGGTCCGCTGCTACCCCGACTCTCCTTCAGCTTCCTCTTTGCGCCGCTCTATCACCCCTCTTTGGGTCCACTGGCAAGCATTCGGCGCTCCTTGGGCTTCCCGACCCTCTTCAATGTTTTGGGCCCTCTCATCAATCCCGTCAAGCCCAGAAGGTGCATCCTCGGCGTCCATTCACCTCACCTTGGCAACGTCTTTGCTGAAGCGCTGAGGGAAAGAGGGACGGAGCGAGCTTGGGTCGTGTGCGGAAGAGAAGGACTCGACGAGATCAGTCCAGAGGGCGAGACCGATGTGAGTCGCGCCGGCTTCCGGCGCGTTCCCACTCCAGCAACGCTGGCAGCTCTGCTCACATGCAGCCTCTCTCTCTCTCTCTCTCTCTCTCTCTTTGTTAGGTATGGGAGTTGCGCCACAAGGAAATCAAGCACTTTGTCATCTCCCCAGCTTCCTTTGGGCTGCCTTCACATCCGCTCAAGCACGTCAACTCGCACAGCGCTGCGGAGAATGCAGCCATCGTGCTGAAGATGCTGCGGAGCAGCAAAGAGGCGAGAGAGGATGTGACGCAGTCGGAGGAGCTGCTGCTGCTGCCGCCCTCGGAACCTCTGTCTTGCGCTCTCGAGCTTTCTGCAGTCGAGACTGCTCCCGTCCAGGGACTGCCCGCCATTCCTGCCGGCACACGTCTGAAGGCGGTGGAGGATTACACGCTGCTTCAAGCTTCCGCATTGCTGTACGTGGCCGGACGCGCTGATGATCTCGGCAGCTGCGTCGGTTTGGCTAGGCAAAGCATCGAGACTGGAGCAGCTAGGCTGGCGCTGGATCAGTTCCGCCAAGAGGCTTCGCGAGCGATTGCGAGGGATGATGATGCTCATGCGCAGCAGACATTTCGCGCGCATAGCTCTACGACGACCGCTTCCGACGCAGCACACGATGCCCATCCGCAAAAAGTCACGAGCAGCGAGCTTGCTCGAGATGCTTCTTCATCTGCGAGCCGACAGGCTCCCAGCAGCAGCAACAAGCAGCAGGATGCGAGCGGTGCTGACAGCGCTACGAGACGAAGGGTGGACGAATACTCTTATGCGCCCGAGCGAACGGCCGACGCCAGCGTCGGCACGGATGACTAGCGTGTGTACAGTTGGTACGCTTCCGTAGAAAATGTGGCACGCTTTGATAGCCATCTAGCGTTGGGACGCGGGCACGCAGTGTGAGATGAGGCGCATATGTGTTCATTGCGACGGGCAGAGGTATAAAGATCAAGCTCGAGCATGATTAACAGGGGAGCGCGCAAGGGGGGGGGGGGAGGGAAAGAGGGGGACTCAGACGGATGTGAAAGTGCGAAATCTATGCCAGGTCGTGCATGCCGCGCGAGGTGTTGTACTGCTGCGGCAGAGGTGGCAAGGGAGGCCGTTGATGCTCTGCGGCCTCATCGTACTCCCAATCGTCCGGAGCGCTCGCGACGCTGTAGATGCTCGCGAGCGTAGCCCTGCTTTGACGCGCGTGCGCAGCAGCCCTTTGCCTCTCCTTCAAGAGGTGGACAGTGTTGGCATCTGCCGCTGCTGCTGCGTTTGTCCCCCTGTTGCTGCTGCTGCCGCTGCTGCTCGTATATCCTGCCGCTGCGACCTGAGCTTCGAATTTGGCCACTGTTGCGCTGTGCGATGCTGCTGACGGGGCGATGGGCGCTTGCGAGAGTGCGGTGGGTGGAATGGGAAAGGGAGCGGTGGACTTGTACGACATGACTCCCCGCCCGCCAGGGGCTGCTGGAGTCGTGGCGGCGGCGGCGGCGGCAGTCGCAGTATGTGGCGGCGCCAGCGGCAGCACGTTTCTTTGCTCGTCCAAGCTTCCTCGAGTGTATGTGCCAGCTTGCGCTGGAGGCGCGACGCCGCTCGCGGTCGCCCACTTGACGTTGCGCGCAGGTGCCGAGGCTGGCATCGCTCGACTTGCCGTCATCACGTCGTAATCTTCGAGGGGAGGAACGGTTTGGTTTGAATAGGCTGCTGTGCTGGTGGATGTTGCGCTCGCATTGCTCACGTTGCGACCGTGTCCGTACGACGGAGGGATGCTCCGAGCATGAGAAGCGTGCGATCCGTGGCCTTGGCTCGACCCGCCAAACGTGTTGCTGTCAGCAAAGGGGTCCTGCTGCTGAATGCTTGCTGCGACGGGGAAATGGCCAGACTGAGACATGTACGGTTGCTCCTGCTCCTCAGATCTACCCGTAGCGTCGCTGAAGCGAGATGACAGAACGCGGTAGCCAGCAGGTGGTGATCTCGCACCGGCAGCTGCTTGAGCTACGGGTGGCGCCATTCCGTTGCCAACGTTTCCGTACGTGTACGATGCTTGCGGCTCGTGGGCAGGATGAAAATACGAACGTCTTTGCTGGTGAGAGGCCCCGTAGATGCCGCCCTGATCGACCCAGGAGCCGTGCTCCCCATCATGGCCGTGCCTGTGCGGCATGAGCTCTTTGCGGTCGTGTGCACGACGACGCGTCCATGCGATGACGATGGCGCCAAGCAGGAAGAACAAAAAGATGCCACCAGCCAGCCCGCAAATGGCGCCGACGCTCAGATTGGGACCGTTGTCCTGCTGACCGTTTGAGCCTACTCGGTCGTATTGCGCATGTCCAAACGAGTCGGTGCTGGTGGGTTTGGCAGGAGCGGCAGTCATGCTGTCCAGAAAGCAATCGAGGTCCATAATGTCGCATTGCTCCGTGTCCTTGACCACTGCCGTCACCGTCGCTTTGGGGGCGATGGTTGTTGCGCGTGATGCGCCAAGGAGAGAGGTAGCGAGCGGTGTGGACGCCGTGTTTGTGAAGGTGACGGTGGTCATTGGCAAAAGGCCGAGCGAGGTCGGGTTCCAAGCTTCGCTCGTCGCTTTTCTGATTTCGCTGTTGGCGCTGTCAATCTCCTCGTTGGAGAGATCATCCGTCTCGTCGTCATTGGTCACAAGCCAGAGCGGATTGTCGTCATCTTCCGGTTTCTGTTCGCCGTCGTGCTCATCCGCCCAAGCTTGCTTCTCGTCGTCCGAAGCCTCGGCCATTGCGAGCCTGTCTGCCCAAGAGGTGGGTTGAGTGAGGCCGGCAGAGTGGGTCATGGTGAATGTCTTCAAGTCATCTCCCAACGACATTGTGATGGTCACCGCTGGCGTAGACTTGAGATGAATCGCGGTGCTGACAGTCGTGCGCGTCGCGGGTACGAGCGTGGTGGAAGTGTGCGTCTGGTGCTTGTCATCGATCGAAGTTGCCGCCTTTTCCTCCCAGCCAGTCGTAGTCACCGTATGCGTTTTCTGCGCGCGCATTGAACAAGACGCTGTCAGCGCAAAGGCAGCCAGCCAATCCATCATCGTCCAAAAAGATGTAAGACTCACCGTAACCTTGTTGTCGTCATTGGAAGCTGAAACGTGGTCAGACCGGCTGCTGCTCTTGCCTTTGTGAGAGGAAGAGGTGCTGGTAGGCGCATCCGTCAAGGACGAAGTAGCGGAGGCCAAAGTGTCCATGAACGAGTTGATGCTGTCGTCCAGCAACGCTCTGGCTGTGCCCGCCATGTGTGAGACCATTGTGGAATGTGTAAAGTGACAACCGGTGCCGATGATGAAGGGGGAAAAGGTATAAGGTTGTACGTGTCCTGCACGGTAGGGTGCCAGCCCTGGATGGAGCGAGAAAGAGGGGGGGAAAGTATGGGGAGGAGAGCGAGGTGATCACGAAAGATGATGGAGGAGGAGAAGGGAAAAGAAAGGCCAAGTAACATCTCTCATATCATCTCGCTTCCTTCGATCAACATGCGCACCTTCGGATCATGGGCACAGTCTGTGTGTGTGTGTGTGTGTGTGTGTGTGTGTGCGCTTGCAAAGACAGACAAGCCTGCTCCTAGGCGCAATGGCGCTTGTCGACTGACAAGACGAACGTACCATGCGGTCGGCCTGGCGGCGCTCGCCCGATGACCTGCAGCAATCAAGCAGCGGCCGTGTCGCCTCTCCTTGGCTGAAAGGTCACACGCCGTTGTGGCGACGCCCGAGAGCAGTTGCCATGCACCCACCAGATGCTCAATCTCAGCTCGAAAGTTGTTAGCCTAGGGGGAGAGAGAGAGAGATTGGGAATGCTGGACGCAATTAAGCTTGATTGTGATTTGTTGCTCGCCCGCTACAGCCGCGCTGCCGCTGATGTAGACAGACTCCTTGTCCGACTCGTAAGCTATTGCGCCCGCCCGCCCGCCCGCCCGCAAGCAAGCAAGCAAGCACGCATGCATGCAACCCGAATTCATCAGGGTTTTTTCGCCCTGATGCGCCCCTCTCGACCGCGTCGAAGGGAGGGCGCAGCGCGAAGATCTGCATGCATGATGGCGCATTCGACAAACGCCCAGCTGCATGCTAGCCGGGTCATCCAAGCTTACAGCAGCAGCAGACCCACTCACTTGTCATTTATAGCGTTGCTCATTGCGCCCCTCTTGTCGCCGTCCATTTTTCGAACGTCGAGCAAGGCCCCGCAGAATTGTGGAACTTGCAGATCGAAGTTTGTTGTCGTGGGGACCAGCAGCATGCAGACGGCAGTGTGAGTCTAGCTGCTGTGAGCGACGCAGCGAGTCATGCATGCCCTCTCGGCGCAGTGCCGGCGAAACGTTGCCCACGCGGTCATACGCACCAGCAAGCATGCGGCAGCAGACAGAAGAAGAAACAATGCGCAAGTGACATTCGACAACAACAGGTGGGGTTCGAGAAAAGGGGGAAAGGCAGGGGGAAGGGGGCGCTGCGCCCAAGCTAGCTCGCTTCTCGTATATGTTGGGGTTGCACGTGCTCAAAGCTGACAGGTAGGTGACACGGTAACGAGGAGCGACTCAAAGGACAAAAGGGTTAGGAGAGGCAGGGTGACATGAAGAAGTCAACGGGATGCAAAAGGGAACAGACAAAAGGTGCAAGACGATTTGGTGTAAAAGGCCTGCATATAGTCGTAGTGGATGACTTCAGTCAGGACATGCCGCCGCCCCAGGTAGACTGCGGTTGCCACAAACCGCCAGGGAAGCCAGACGAAGGACTGTTGAAAGCAGTAAGGTAGTCGAAAGCCATGTCAATGTTGTGTTCGGGATCGGAAGAAGGCTGGTGCTCTCCGCTTGGCGGTGGAGCCGCGGCCGCCGCGGTAGTTGTAGTCGACGGCATAGCAGATCCAATCGTGCCGTGAGCGACTGGAGGCATGGTAGCAATCGCAGCACCTCGCGCAAAGTCGCTCACATCTGGCTTCTTGTCGCTCAGAGACGCAACGTTTGCGGGCGAGCTGGAGCCGTGCGTGAGGGGAAGACCAGCAGCGAAGAGGTGTTCGGCTTCGGTGAGACCGATCACCGAACCCGAGCTGGGCTTCACTTGTGAGGAAACCGGTTCAGCCGTCGTAATAGCACCTTCGACACTCATCTCGTTGGTGCTCGACAGGAGCGGCACCGCATGCGCGAGCAAGGTCGCTTCAGAGATCGCTGTAGAAGCTGCGACGCTGGGCTCAGAGCTGGAGCGATCTGGTGCAGCGTCGTCCAGAGCCAGACCCACGAGCGCGCTGGAAGCCGAGGGGCTGGTCGAGTCGCCGTTCAAAGACATTTCTTCAGAAGCGTCCATCTTGATGTCCGGCTTTGTGCGCAAGAGCGGCGAGGCGGCAGAGTGATCGGCTCTTTCGGATTCTGGAATGTACAGCTCGAGCACGGATCGCAGCCAGCTTCCGTACGGTCCAGCAGCACCATTGCGATGCGCGGGAGAGCGACCAGCTCGCGCCAAGGCTTTTGCGAGACGCTTGGCTCGATCAATGATGGCGTAGCGATCAACCCACGGATGCTTGACGCGGTCCAATTTTGTGAGGCGAAGCGCTGTCATCGCGGTCCAGGTGGCCATGATGGCGGTCTGATTGGGAGACGACTCCAGATCCTCCTGCGTAATGTCGTCAAGAAGCACGTCGATGAGGGCCGTCGCGTTGTTCCAGCAGTCGAGCGCTGTAGGGATAGAGTACTCTTCGCCACTGTGTTGCTCAAAGGTCTGCAGGACAATGCTGTTGAGGTAGAGTCGGGCATGCCTGTAGTGCAGCATCGCAGTGGGACGCCAACGCACCAAGAAATCTGCCATGGCCAGACTCTGCACGTGCGCTTCATCCGCTGCCGATACGCACCACGCTTCCTTCCATCTCTCAAGGTCGGAATTGGCCTGCTGACGGTATGCCTCGAGCTCTCGCAGATCCACGTCTCCGCTTCGACGACGCCCATCCGGCTCCTCTCCTTGAGCACTGGGCGCGCCTTGGGCGACGAGCGCGGCAGTGACAAAGTTGTTAAAGGCGCTCTCATGCTGAGCAATCAGGCGACGCAGCTGCACGAGGCTGACCAGACTGACGTCTTGCGGCAGAGCCCAGTCGGCGCGATGGAAGTTGGTGCCCACGCTGCTGATGAGCTCGTCGGTACTAATCGTAAAAGGGCGACCGGTCTGAGCGCTCAAAGTTCGGTCGCTAATGAACAAGCACATCCAAGTACGCCATCGATTACGGATGCGCCGTCTGAGCTGTTCGGAGTCTTCGAGGCTTTCGCTGGGTGCGACGCGGCGATTGATGCCAATCTCTGTGCCTGTTCGAATCGCGTATCCCAAGTACTGCCAAGACCTGTCGTCGGCAAGTCGCTGAGTCGGCTTACCGTATAGTGACAGCAGCAAAAAGGCCTGGCTCAGCTCGACTGACTTGTAACCGCCAAGCAAGACTTCTGGGACGAGCGTCTCGCGCCAGTGCCGTTCCATGAGGACTGCCAGCTCTGCGTCGCGCTGGGAGTCGCTCAGACGCGCAGCGAACGCGGCAATGACTGTCGTCAAGAGGGCAGATCGGCTGCGCGTGTAAGAAACGCTGTGGAGAAAGGGATCCAATAGGTTGAGTAGCGGATTGATGCGGTTGAAGAAAATGTCGAACAAGTCTCGCAGTTCCGACATGGTCGCAAAACCCACGTCGACTGGATCACCCTTCTCAACGTCCAGCTTCGATGCAAAGGGGCTCAACATCCAGTATTCCGGGTGAGATGCCCCTGCCTCGAGCTCATCTGATCGTTCAGCAGCACCGTCCAACGCAGGCGTGTCTCCTGCAATGTGAGCGCCGCTGCCAAGCTCCACATCGTCCATGCCAGCTCGAGAGCGTCTGCGCAGCGCGCGCACGCCGCTTTTAGGCCTGCGCATTCCTCCTGACCCACTCCCGGTGTTGCTGCCAGTGTGAGAGGTACCGGTGGGGGGTGCCGGACTCTCGCTCTCCGGGCCGCGACCACTTGACACGGGGCGAGAAGACCTGCTGCGCGCAGCAGCCGTCTCACTGTGACCACCAGCGAGGTCTTCGGGAGGCTCTTGTGAGGCATCTGGCCCGCTGGCAGAGGTCGGTGTCGTGGCGCTGCCGGTGATGCCAGCTTTGGACCTCGTTTTGCCGCCTCGATATTCGTAAGCCCCTGCATCAATGATGGCATTGGAAGCATCCTTTACCGCGCCCATGAGATTGCCGACAATGACGTTCGAAGGCGCCGGAGAAGGGGACGTTCCCAGCACCTGTGGTCTTTCAGCTGCAGCCGCTTGTTGGATGGCCTCCATCATAGCCTCTTGCTTGAGACGAGCTTGCACGCTTGCGGCCTCGATGGCAGTATAGCTCCTCGATCGTCCGATGATGCTTGGTCGAGGTGCTGGTGGACTCATCTGTGTGCGGATGTTGCTGCGAGCCGCCATGGTTGAGACGTGCGGCAACCTGGGAAGCGTGCGATCGCGCATGGGATGGTGGGCACCTGCGGCAGCTACCAGGTGGCTGAGCATGCTTGGGCGAGGTCGTGGGCGTGGTGGGCTTACGAGTCCGATTGTTGCAGCTCCAGTGCTCTGCTTTTGCTCGCCAGCTTTCGTCGCGGCCATCCCTTCGCTGGCGTGAGCCAGTAATCTGAGCGGGATTTGAAGCACGTCCTCGTTATCCGCGCCCTCCCCAAGCGCGTCCTCATCGAGCTGATCGATCTCGTCCGCATCATCCTCTTCGGAAGTGCTAGCCGCTGAGTTTGTCTCCATCGGTATGGACTCGCTCGGCTCTGATCGCACTGCTGGATCGCTCGCACGCGGCCGCTTCGCATCCTCGTTGGTGAAACGATGAGAGTCGCCGATGTAAGACTGGGCGTCTTCGTCCGCCTTGCGTTTGGGCGTCCCCGCCATGGGCGATGCAGCAGGATGGGGAGCGGACGTGGTCAAATGCGACCCTGGGTGAACATTCCCGGTAGCGGAGCCAGGAGTACCGTAGGCCAGGCTCATTCCCGGGGACAAGAGGCTGCGACTCGGGCTCGCAAAGTCGTTCCATGAACGTGGGATGCTGGCTGTCCCTGGTGTGTGATGTTCGAGCGTGTTGGCGCTGTGTAGACGCACCGGGGGTGGCATACTGATCGGGCCTGGCCAGGCTGCGCTGCGAAGAGAAGACTGCGACGTGGCGCTTGCGGAAGCAGACCTCATATTTGGGATCATGGGCGAGTAGCTGGACGCGGAGCCAGGAGTGCCGACGCTGCTTCGACCGGCGGCACCCGATTCGTGCACTGCGCTGCCCATCGAGAAGTGTTCCGAAGCATGTTGAGCGTGGCCATCTGACCGACTGCCATGAGCCGTGCGATGCGAGCTGTGCACGTCGGGAATCGCCTGCGCCACCTGAGACCGTCCGTACTCGTTGGAGTTGCGAGGTGCATTGCTGCTCCACTGAGAGGCGGGGCGACCAAAACTGCTCACAGTGTCCATGCCAGGATGATGGGTTGGATAGTGCTGAGAGGCAGGCGCGGGGACCATGACGCTGGGCTCGGAGTGGTGTTCCGATCTCGGTCGCCTGAATTCGACGGGCGAGCTGCTTGTGGAGGCAGAGCCAGAGTAGTGCGCTTCGTGCGAGTGTCCTGAAGCTGGGGGCCCGGCTCCGTTCCTGGTCGGGTAGGCCCAGGCGACACTGAGCATCAGGGACGGACATGCAATCCGCGGAATTTTCCGAAAGCACGACTTACCATCTTCCAGGCTTGCGTCCTCGGCGATGCTTCTCAAAAACGCACTCCCTGTCATGCCTCGCACAGCGCTTGCACGGCACGATTCCGTCTGTTGGGGCTGAGCATCGAATCTAGAATTCGCGCGGCACAGAACAGGTCAGCGGCATGCTAGTCAGATCGTCTCCGCGGGGTGGGTCGCCTCTCTCACTTTGGCCAGGCGACAGTCCAGGCAGCTGTAGGTTGGGGGGGGGGGGGGGGGGGGGGGGGGGGGGGGGGGGGGGGGGGGGGGGGATCCCATCGGATGAGCACCGGTACGGCTGACTGGCCATGTATGCGCGCAAAGCCTGGTCACTCACGCTATTCTAGCCCCCTGCTTCACCTCTGGCCCTCCAGGCCCTTCAGCCCGAACTCGAGGTCTCTCCCATGCGGCCAAGTTGCTGCCAGCATCGCTCGAGCCCACATCGACGCGAGATGCGTTGGGTTGCTGATGAGAGCTTTCGATCCCTGCATGAGCTGATGGCCATCCCGAAACCGAAGAGGCAGATACGCCGCCAGCAGGCAATGGCTGATGGTGAGACGACATGCGCGCTTCGGCAACGCGTTGCTTTGCGCGCACGCCGGAGATGATGAGGAGGCAAGAGGCAGAAGAGAAAGCGAGGCTTGCCAGTAAAAGATGGGCAGGTGGTGGAGGCTTCCAGACGACGATCCCCCAAGCAGAGCTTGGCGTCGGATGCAAAGGCAGGACACTCGTGATTGGAGTCGAGCAGGTGAGTGTGGTGGTTTGATCTCCTCGCGCTCGTGCAAGAAGCCTGGTGAGGCGTCTTTTGTGAGAGCGTGACGCGGTGACCCGGAATGAAGGAGCGGAATAGGATCCGCTCTGGCGGTATACTGGCTCAGACTGCCAGTCCTGGCGGCACGAATTTGCAAAGTCTTCTAGCAGTCACGAGACCGGTACGAGCGGTGCGGTGACTGTGACTGTTGTGATTGTTGTGACTGTGACTGCCTTTCTCTGGAGCGGAGCCCTATACGCGTACCGCGGATTTGATGGGGAGCGCCCTGGCCTCCGTTGCTCGCACAACAACTACCGTCGTCGCCGACGTTCTGCCTGGTCGAACGTACAGCGGCGATGAGGCGAGAGCTGTTTGACTTTTTCGCAGGGTAATGATGATCCGTGCTGTAGATGCTGCATATATGCTGTAGAGTCTTGAGTGTGCTTGATGGCTGCTGCTGCTGCAGATGGAACGCTCGATCGAAGACGCTCATTCGTGACGTGACTACGACCGATCGATCAGCATCGCCCGCGTGAGAGGAGTCTCGTGGCGGCCGTCAAGTCAGGGCTGTTCATCGCGGTGACTCAAGATTCACATTCACGATTCAGATTGTTCAAGCAAAAGACGTCGGCGGCGCTGCTGATGATCACCATCAGTTTCAGATGCCCACGTCACGTCCTGCGTGCTCGCTCGCTCGCTCACGCGCGCGCCCGCATGCATGCTGACAGGAATTCAGCAGGCAGCGCACACGGCGACTCAATGATAAGTTTCTCCCGCGCGCGGCACTTGAGAGAAGAATTAAGAGAAGAGCAATTGCGCGAGCGCGGGGAGCCCATAAACCCCCGCACGCGCGCGCGCGCACGGTGCTACCGCGTATATACTCACTCAAGACTGACTGTAGCGCGCTTGCGCAGACCAATTAAGCAATTCAGTCTTTCCAATTTGAATTGGGCGCAGTCATGCAGTTTTGAGTCGTGAGTACCAGAAGAGTCGAAATGAATCCCTCACTTCGCTCGTTCTGTGATTTTTTATGTTCCTCCCTTGATGGTGTGTATATATAGTACTCGCAGTCACGAGTGGGAGTCAAGAAGCATCTATCGACCAGCACACGGATGTTCCATGCTGAGGGCGAGCGAACGAGCGATACGGGAAGCACTCGGACTCACACTCATCAGCAGTCATCGAGACCGGGCAACACGCAATCCAAAACACAGCGCCACGCTGCGAGTGAGTGGCTTCGTGTCCCGGGGCGTGCGCAGCAGCTATATACACAGACGCATCAGCAGGGACCAATTCACCGAGAAGCAGGCAAACGCACGGCGTTCCCGCGCGGTCACTTCATCGGTCTCCTACAAGCGGGCCTCTCAGCGGCGACCATGCAAGCAAGCAGCAGCAGCAGCAGCAGCAGCACCTTGTTGATCAGCGCAACATGTTTTAGAACCCCGCATGATGCGCATACATGCGATTATTGTGCTGTAGGGTCGCACGACGATCCTGAAGGAGCCTAGCTGCAGCTCGAGTGCCCGAAGGTCTTTCTGAGGATCCGCGTTCGCCTCGATGTACGCCTGCAGCGCTTACGAACGGGCTCACTCACACGCCAGTCGCGAGGGCCTATATGCAGCAGCTGATGAGTTATGAGCGCGAGAATAGCAGAGGGCAGGATCACGGGCTTTGCGTGTAAATTTCTTCCCACCTTTCCCTTGACCCTCCTTAATTCCTGCAGAGACGCGCTCACGCTACACTCCTCAAGACTCGTGACTCTTGCTGACTTTGGCCCTTAATTTCACCTTATTCCGACGCTCGCCGACGCAGGACACGCCGCGTTCCTGATGAAGCATCCACGCAGCATCAAATCATGAATTGAAATCGTGAATCGTGAATAATAGAAATCCTGAATGCGCATGCACGCGTATACGCGTCCATCAGCTGCAGTTCTTGAGTGATGCTCCCCGCGTTCCGCTTTCGATCAGACGTAGCTGCGCGTATGCTTGCCCTATACATGGTGGTACCTGTGAACCTAGCGCCTTCGACCGCCTCTAGCTGTGCTGAACCGCTTCGTTCTTCACGCCCCGCATGCTTCTGCTGATAATAGCACGTCGCGCAGAGCACAAAGCCCCGCACAGCTCAGAGCGTAAGTCGTGAGTATAACTCCTGGTGTGCCGCTCGCTATACGCGCCGGGCATAGGTGATGCGTCCGCCTACAGCTAGAGAGCCACGAGACGAGTCGTCTTTCACGAATAGCCAGCCGGCTGCATGACTTGATCAAGACGCAAGCATCCGCCTGCTATTGACAAACCTTGACGATGACTGGAAATCTGAAATGTGTCGAGACATTTTTTTGTCGGCTGAGGAATCGAGCCGTTGTCGAGTTCTTTGAATTGCTAGGCGGCGCAAGGGAGCTAGCTATTGTATGGATCTTCAATTTTGAATCAAGAATGACTCACCACTCATTCAACCCAATGTTCAAGGTCATGGTCACGTGAGCACTCTGTACAAAGCTGCTCAGCTTCATTCTTGATTCAAATTCAGATGAAGATTTGAATCAAATCTTCGGCGTGTCGGCGCTTCGGCTGGCTCGCTAGCGCAATCAAGAGCGGAGCGCGCGTGCGTGCCGAACAAGCGCCTGACCGGGATTTCCACGTACCGGTACCTTGCCCGATGATTGTGAACAGGTACAGCAGCACCGTATCGGCGGGGCAGCGCTCGATCGAGCGGACATGGGACCGAAGGACCGTTGAGTCGACTCGAGACTCTGACTGTGCAGAGTTGCGAGTAGTGTGGACGGTCGTGGGTGTCGCATCACCAATCAAGAGTCATAGCAATCTATCGAGCCTCTTGCTTCTTCTCCACCAGCATCTCCCAAAAGAAGAAAAGCAAACACACTCTCAAGATCAAGACGATACGCGATGCGCATACAGGACATACTCAGCGCAGCCCTCACTGGCTACACGGCCTTGTTGGGAGATGCGAGCCTCAACTCACCGCTGCTCAGCTCGAGCCTGAAGTGGTTCGGACATGAAAGCGATGCGTGCGACGCTGCGATTGCGCAAGGATTGCAGGGCTACCAGAACATTACGCTCAGAAGCTTCAACACGAGCTCCAAAAGCATGGTGGATAGGACTCATCTAGTCTACCTGCCCAAGTCGTACGATGGTTCGCGCAAATTGCCCACGCTCCTTGTGAGTAAAGACTTGATGTGGCGGCGAGCGAGGCGTTACTAGAGGACAGTTGCGCTCAAGAAACGTGAATCCTTTAATGCAACCCCAATCAGACTCTGCATCCCACACAAGGCAATCCACAGCAGATCATCGACGACTCGCACCTGGAAGCGCTGGCCGATAGGGAAGGCATCGTCCTGCTGTCTCCTAGGGGAGGTGTAGAGTTCGAGATCACGGAGCATTCCCCTTGGGAAGGTTGGGGCTGGACCGTTCCCTACGTTCCCTCCATCATCAACACGACGTATCCCGGCAGCACAGAAGACATGGCCTACCTGCTCCAAGTGCTCGATCACGCTCAATCCAGCTTTTGCGTGGACAAGAAGCTCTCCTACTCCTTTGGACACAGTTGCGGAGCTAGAATGTCCACCGCTTTGGCTTGCGATCCCCACGCTTCCAACAGGTTCGCCGCCGTCTCGCCCGCAAACGGCATCAGGGCAGGGCCAGCGAGACCGGACTTGCAGCAACCGCATAGGCAAGGCGAGAAAGCTTGCAGACCTAGTCACAACGTCGCCATCGTCTCGATTCACGGCACAAACGACGACATTGATCCTTGGAACGGCAACGACAATCCACGTGAGTGCAAGCACGCATGTAGGGGGCCCCCGCTTCGTCCCCAAAGCAGCACTGTGCTCCAGCTTATCGTGCGCTCTGGGCCCCCCCGCTTTTCTCTGCACAGAATGGGGCTACTCCGTGCCCACCGCTCTGAACGTCTGGAGCGACATTCTTCAGTGCGACAGCCCCTTGGTAGAGCAATTGCCCGGGCTAAATGTCACAGTCACAAAGTCGACGTATCAGTGCGCTGGTCCACGTGGCTCTTCCTCATCTCCTTCCGCTGCGAACGGCATCACCCAGTTCACAGTCACCGATGGCTGGCACTACTGGTACAATGACATTGCTGGTTTCGATGAAGCTCAGGCATTGTGGGACGAAGTAAGTGGTTGATTGTGCTGATGATTTGCGCTACCTTTAGCTAAAGTGCGCGCCGCCTTCTGTGCCGATTCTTGCGCAGCTCAAACAGCACTCGCTCTAGCGTTTTGAGCGCGCAGTCGGCACCCTACGATTCGTTGCCGGTTTATCTCTCCCTCCCGCACTCTGCCCTGCCCTGCTTTCTTCGTTCAGACATCTTCTTTGCGCGTTTCATCTAGCCGCGCCTCAATGTGAAGATCGATGCCGCTCCGCCTCTATGACTCCTTTGCCCTTTGTGCCTGCTGCAGGACTTCGATGGGGTTCGGCATGTATTGACGAGGTTCCCTTCTGCCCTGACCGAGAGCATGCCTCCCTCCAGTCGGTGGAGCAGAAGGTCTGGGCTGACTAGCAGGTTTCTCTGCATCCAAAGCGCTGTCGCTAATCGTTCCAGAATGTCCGATGAAAGAGCTGACGTGCGGTCGAGGCGTAGGCTGGCCCGTCCTTGATGGCTGATCTGCACTGGTGCGAGGTCGCTTGAAGAGGTGCAGAGGGCTGGCCAGGAGCGTAGAAGACGAAGAGTTGGATGCGTCGTCGTCCAGCGAGAAAGGAGCTTCTTTGCTGCCAGCCACAGCAAGGGGCTTCGCGTGCAGCTCGGAACTGCTTAGGCGGCTAGCCTGTGTCAGACGACCATTGCTCTGACTTGGCAGTCTTTGCGGCGCCAGAGGCATGACGGGACGTCCATCCCGATCGTACTCGTCTTCACTGCTATCGGAGAACTCGATGAAGACGGCATCTGATGGTAGAGGGGACGGCGCAGATCGTTTCAAAGGCAAAAGTGGTGCTGGCGCAGATGAGGCGAGAGAAGCCACGGAACCCTCGCGCGTGGTGTTGACGGGCGCAGACGTTGAAATTGAGGGGGCATGCGAGGCTGCGGATGTTTCGCGAGGTTGTTCTGGAAGCAGAGTAGAGCCGTTTGTAACGGCGGCGGACAAATGTGCATGCGAGGGCACACCATCCGCTGCGTTCAGCTCAAATGTCGCACTCCGCTGCCTTTGTCTGCCCTTGCTATCCGCCAAGCTTGCTTGGCCTGATGCTTGGTCGATCACAGGCTGAGCGCCGGGATGAGCGTCTGGCACCCTTAATGTGACGTGTTCCATGGCGGCTGTGGCAGAAGGCTCGGCAGCATGCCTGGCAGGGACATCAGCCGTCGAGGGCCGCTCCACCGCCGAAAGGCCAGGTGCAGCATCGTGGTCGCTGCTGGGTATGACGATCACCGACTGGGAACTCTCCTTGGCAGCAGCTTGAGACTCCTTTTCGTGCTCGGAATTGCTCACGTTGGTCGTAGGTGGAGAGCGCGCGACTTCTTCCCTGTCTTGCTCCTCAGCCTGCCATCTTCGCTTGCGAGATTGTCTTGACGTGATTCCGGAAGGAGGAGCAGGCAGGACAGGCCCCCTTCGCTGGCGCACCGATGCGGCGGCAGCAGCGGGCTTGGGCTGAATGCTCGCCGATGGGGACTCCTCGGTCTCACTGCCGGACTCCGTCGCTTTGCCCATCGTCATGTTGAGCGCGTTCCTCGCGTGAGGTCGAATATTGAGCGACGCCGTATCCGGATTGCGCCCAGCCGCCACAGCGTTGCGGAACTCTATAATCTCCGCTTTCGTGGCCCAGGCTCTGTGGCCTTCATCAACGGCAGGTCCTGATGCGCGAGCCGGTGGGCTCCTAATGCTGGACTGCAGGTCTCGCAGATCGTCCTCGTTCAGCGAGGCGTCGCCTCCCAAGTCGACAAAGTCGAGGATCTGCCTTCGAGGGTGCCAGTCATGATAAATCAGCCTTTTGGCTTTGGGAGCCACGTCGATCTCCACAGCTTCCAATTTGACACTGCCGGGAAGGTCCAAAGGTAAGCGTATTGCTGGAGGTTCCACCCTTGCGAGCTGCGGAATTAACCTGTTCCATGGTCTAGGACCAGGCGGCTCAGACGATTCGTCGACTTGCGTCGCTGGCAGAACCGCTGATGCTTGAGTGGCCAGCGTCTTGACGTTGCCGGTCTCCATCGAGAGCGATTGCAGCGTGTCATCGACTTTGGGCGCAGGCTTGGATGCAGGCTCGGAGCTCAGTGGTATTGCACTGCGGGAGTGTATGCGCTCACAAATCGTGAGTCTTGCTTCTGCGATGGCTGCTGCTGCGGCTGCTTCTTCTTCTTCTTCTCCTTCTTCGACCACTCACATTTCAGCTTTCCACCAAGGCGTTGGACTCGGAAGGTTCTTGATGCACGCAGCAATGGCTCGCAGCTTCTTCTTGTGTTGCTCCAAAGCTGCGCTTCCTGGCAGATGTACGACTGAGAGGCAAAATCCGCCCAACGTACGTGTCAGAAGCCAGCACCGACGCGAGCAATTGGCGCCAAGACGTTCTCACCCCACAGGAGCGGCCTGAGCTCCGAGTCATCACGAAAATCCTGATGTTCCAGACGAATGTGCTCTGAGGATGACGGCACGTTGGACTCAGCAGCGCTCCAAGCTGCAAGATAGCAACGCGAATCGCGTGCCAGCCACTCACGGTCTTGGGCTTTGTAATCGGTCAGCTCCACGCCGTTCGACAATCGGCACTCTTTGAAGGGGCACTCGAAAGCAGCAGCTGCAAGGTGGCCACATAGATGCTGCCTTTTGAGAGTCGTCTTGTCAAATCTTCTATTGGCGCATCCTTTCCATTGGCAGCTGCGCAATCCGCAACGGGTTATGGTGTGTGTGATTAGTGTCAAGCTGCACAGTCACGTTGTGCGCAGTCGACGGACGATGCTCACCTCATCTTCACCTCTCCAGGCGGCAGCGGCACGAGGTCTATGTGCGCCCTGCAGACATGCTATGAGGTGAGCAAGGCAGATGCAGCAGGTGAGCAAAGAGTCGCGCGGATCCGCATACATGCTACGACAAAGGGCCTCCCGCAGCCGTCATGAGAGCGTCTGGCAGTCACATCGCGGGGTGCAAGCACCCGTCAGACAGCTCCACTCACCCGTATGAGGGCCTCGGCCGTGCTAAACGTCTTGCCGCATTGCACATGATTGTGCTCGAAATGGGTGGACCGGTCCACATCCCACTGGCAGCGCAGCAGCCTAGTCCCTCGATGATGTCCCGAATTGCCAGCTCTAGGTTCCCTGAACGGGCTGCCCCAAATCCGTGCCTCTGCTCCAAATTCGCTCCTGGGCAGCTCGGCGGCGGGCGGAGGCACATAGTCGGCAGAGGTGCGACCTGCAGTTCTGGCCTTGGTGTATTCCTGCCTCTTTGCGGCGCGCGCCTTGGCTTCCTCGAGCAGACTTTTCGCAGGCTGAGGCTTGGATGCCTTGCGAGCGGTAGGCGTGACTGGGGAGAGCAACGACGAGCGAGGCTTCGGAGGCAGCAAGTGTCTGGAGAGGCCCGCTGGCTGCTTCTTCTCGATGACAAGAGGTTTATGTCGGCCAGCAGCAGCAGCAGGAGACGGCGAAGACGATCCTGCCTGTCGCAATCGCGCTTGCTGGAACTTTGATGTTGCTTGGGTGTCATTGTTGCCCTCGGAACTGGCGCTCGCAGGCCTCGAGGTGAATTGTCCGTGGTTACCCCGAGTAGGATTGCGCAAGGATGACGAGCTCGGCGCACCGATCCTGGCAGCGTTCGGCTTGATGGGTGATGCTGAGCTGATGATGCCCGAGGCAGGGGGTAAGGGACTATTGTGCGAGTCGCGTCTCGGCGGCGAAGCGACAATGACGGCCAAGTCGCTGGTCTGCCTCTTCGTGACCGCTGCTGGTGCAGGAGACTTGGGAGACGATGTGCTGGCGGCTGAGATAAAGTAGCTCTTCAAGGAAGAGGGTCGCTTGGCAGAGGAAGAGCTCGAGTCGTCGCGTTGAGCATTACGAGAAACATAGGCACTGGCAGCATTCGCGGGGCCAGCAGGGGCTGCTCTGCCCGCAGAGGATGATGAGCCAGTCGAGCTTTTGGAACTGGTGGGTGTGTTGCTGCGAGTCTCGACCTCCACGACTAGACGATTGCCGCTCGATGGTTTCCTGAAGCTGCTGGTGAAGGAGGATGCTGTGCTGTCATGGCTCGCAGCATGTGAGGTTGCTCGGGATGGACCTGCCTCGCCGAAAGGCGGCATAGCATGGGCCTTTCCTGAACAGCGAGTGGGGTTGTGGTGGACTGGGATTGGCAAGCGTGTGTTGCGCGCTCTCTGCCAGCGCGCGCGCGGCACTACAGCCCAGCGAGAAGCACCAATAGGCTGCTAGATACCAGGCGAGGCCTTACCGCATGGCAGTCCTCGCTGTGAAGGTGGTAAAGGTGACGCAAGGGGGTGGTCGAGGAGCAGAGAGGGTGTGAATCAGCAGCGAAACAAGTGATGTGGAAGCAGCTGATGCCAAGCAGTCGCATCGCATCTGCCATTGCAGAGAGGCACGCGATGGACGAGAAGAAACCACCAATCACACCAGCGAGATGCATCCCAAGCCGAGGCATTTGATGAGACACACACAACATTCAAAAAAGGCTCTTTTCTCTTCAAATCACGTCACACGCGCAATAGGCGCGTCGCTTTCTGCTGCCTGCTCATCATGCAGCGAGATTAGCTCTTGACCGCCAGCAGCAGCTCGCTCAGGCGGGCGCAGTCAGCGAGAGCACGGCGGCGATGGATGGGCTGGTGGGGGGGGGGGGGGGGGGGGGGGGGGGGGGGCACAGGCGCAAGAGCAAGAGCAGCAGGGCGCACCTGAGCTTGACGCGTCGTGCTGTCATCCTCTTTCTCCCTTTCTTTCCAAGGGTGGCACTTCTCTCAGCTGCTAGACACTCATCGCATGTGACACTCACATGGGAGCCTCCAAAAAGTCGACCCGCCGCTGCCCAGAGTGCGCGTCGTGCCAGGCGAACGATTTAGAAGGCTTGTAATCGCGAGAATTGCTTGGTTTTTGGAGCTCGAGCAGCAGAGGTCCTGGCTTGCCTTGGTAGGGTGGGTGGGTTGGATGTGGTGGTGGTCAAGACGGAAGTTGCAGGTTGCATCACAAGGTCAATTTATACATCCAGCACTGCATAATTGTGCCAGGTCTCATGCAAAGGGGAACAGATGCATGCAACACATCATCACCTCATCTCCTCTCAAATTGCTTCCTTCACATCACACACTCAGCCCCTGTCTCACCTGCTACTTCCGTCGCATGCAGGAACCAACAAATTGCTGCAAATAGCCACCCTCCGCTAGGGGAGAAGCGCCCCTGCCATAGGTCAGAGGGTGGTCAGCCTTCGGTGTCTGATCTGCGCCACGTGGCAATTTGCCATGCGCCAAGTAGTGCCACCGCGGCGCCTCGGTATGGTCACTTGACAGCAAGACGAGGGAAGAGGCATCAGCTTCTCGTATGCCACCACAGGATTGAGGTCTGAAATTGGCGTTCTTGATCCCGCTGAGACGGGGATGCAGACACTTTCGGGTTCTGCATCGGGCGAGCATAGCAAAGAGTTTCAGGTGAGCGTTGCAAGCCTGGCTGCTGGGAGTTTTTAGGACATTTGCAAGCCTGGTGTTCAGTGAGGGGGCCAGTCATGCATCACTTGCAACAGATTGAAAGGTCCAACATGGGCGCAGTGCAACTGGATGACGAGGGAAATCGCGCCATTGGACCATGACCATGCTGCGCCAAGGATCAAGCCCTGTCTGTGCTTTGTGCAGCAAGCTAGAGCATCTGTTGGCGCAGCAGATGCTACAAGATCCCAAACAGCATTACACAAGACGGTGCTTGAACCATTTTGAACAAATTTGAGGACCAAGGTGGCGTGCCCGCCGCTTGCCTGGTCTTGTTAGGCCCTGACAAGACTGCAACAGACTCTCCATGGTCTGTGAGCGTCAGAGCCACTTGCACATGGCTCAAATGGAAGATTGTGACCAGCTTCTGCAACTCCACCCATTGGAGCCTTGTACAATGCATCACTTGCCCAGAGCAAGCCCATCTTCCCTGCCAGCTCACATGGAGCAGCAAGAAGCATCCTGGACGCCTCTGAGGGTGTCCAAAACCGGTGTGACTGTATAGAGGATTCGCAAAGACCATGCAGAGTCCAGCTTGGGCTGAATAGCCACCTTCAGGCATAACCTACCATAGGGCTGCATGGCAACAAGAGGTGGTAGCGCCTGGCAAGCATGCTGACCACCCACCAAGGCCCTTCCCCTCCCTCATCATTGTCCTGCAGGCGCAGCGTCGACTCAAGCACAAATGACAGGACAAGCGGTTCAGCGCGGCAATGCGTGATTGGCCGCGCTTGTGACTGTGCAGATGGCATGCAGAGTGCCATGCGCCCCTTCAGCTGGCCGTTGTCATGCATCAAAAGACTCATGCGCCATCGCGGAGCTCACAAGGTCCAACCACGAGTCTGGCGCGTCACTTGGACAATCTCATGGTGGTGTTGTGTGTCCTGAACAACATGAATACCTCTGCTTCACTCGGCTATGTAACATGGACGAATTTCGAAGAGGGCCAGAGTGGCTTGCAATAGCTCCGCTTCCCGGTCCTGTGTTCTCGCTTCCTTGTGGAATCAGCCTTGATCCAACAGCAATCCAGATCCCCTCCGTTGCGCGCAGTGTCGGCAACAAGAATGGGTAGTAGGCTTTGAGTGTCCGCGGCAGGTCAGCCTGCAGCGTCTGATGCTATTGACATGGAACTCCAGAAAATGGCATGCAGGAACAAGACTTGCCAGCAGACTTCTGCAAAGTAGCGCTACAAAGTGTCTGGATAGCTTGGCCAAAGAAAAAAAAAGTTGCCAGAGCGAGCGTCTCACGTTTCTCTGAGTCCAAGGCGAGAGCCCTGGCACCTTGTACGCTCCGCCTTCTATTCTCAAAGCATTGCGGACGACCTTTCGGCGTGATACGCGGTGTGACTGTAGCCACTGGACTCCCAAAGTCGTGTACTTTGGACTGACCCTTGCAGCGTCCTATCCGTTGCATTGAGCCCGCTCCTTCTTCCCATGCCCGAGCAGCTTCGCGGAAAGCCTGAGCCGCGCAACAAGTCCGTCGTCCTCGATCAATCGCTTGCTGCGCCTTGCGACCTGATCAAACGTCACACTTCATCTTCCTTGACAAAGGTGCCGTCCAGCTTCTTGCCCAAGGAGCGCTGAAACTGTGTCCAAGCCCACCTGTCCGAAAACGCCGCGTCGCTCTGCCGACCAGAGAGTCAGTGGAAGTAGCAGCGCGCGCGTTGGAGTGCACACGTGATTCAGCGTGAGTCGGCACACAGGGTTCGCAGGTGAAAGGCACACGGGGATCGTGGGTGAAAGAAGGCGTTGGTTTCAGGCGTCAGTTTCAGGCTCGATAGCAGCCATCTGCATGGTCATGACTGGGATGCAACATGTACGCTCCGATCACCTCACCTCGTACCACTGATTGATGGCTATACACAACCCCGCGCTTGCGCCTTCTCCCTGCCCATCGTCCACCTGCTGTGCCACCGCGTGATACCAGCTGCATTGAGGTGGCAAGACACGTGAGCCTCAGCCTTGGAGCGGCGGGACTCGATCTTGAATCTTCGGCTCGAGACAGTTCGACTCACCCGGCAGGAAGATACAGAGTCTGACCTTGGCCGACTTTTACGCGCAAAGGAGGCAAAGACTGAGCGTACCTCTTGCACGGAGCGTTGCGCTTGCTCGTGCGAGTCTCGAGAGGAGAAGGTCTGATCCAAGGCGTTTTGGGAGCGGAAGGGACCGGACGGAGGACCAAGTCGGACGATTTGAGCGCGTTTGGAGCAATGTAGTCACTGTCACTCTTCTTCCCGTCGATGGACCACTGATAGATGGGCAGAGGCTCAGCTGGATAAGGTTGGGGAGTGCAAAGTCAGAGGTGTGCTTTGCCATTCTACACATGCTGCTGCACCAAGGCTTGGCTCTCTCGCTGCCCTGAACGCACTTTCTTCCAGCGCCCAACCTTCGGCGGGCGGCCAGAGGTAGAATTCCTTGACGCCTCTGACCACTGTGAACAGATTCTCGTAGTGATCGCGATGAGTGCTGGTGAATGCACGAGCGTTGCCCACCCACAAGTTGATCGCTTCTGGCTCCTTGTCCAGTGCTTGTGTCGCGAACAAGAACGACAACGAAGCGTTGTCTTTAGAGCGTGTGGACGACGCGGTCGTAGAGGACGCGTGGCTACGAGGGGCAAAATCATCACACAGAGGAGAAAGCGCGGGCTCAGAGGTCAAGTTGGAACCTTGCGACTGGAGGTACGCGACGGGCGCGTCTTCTTTGCGGCTAGAAAGAGCGCTTGCCAGGTCCTTGAACGTCCTGTGCACGCAAAAGCGTGAGCGGTAGCATCGCGTCAAGCGTCACCTCCGCGGTGCATCGTCAGCAGGGCGAGAGGCGTGAAGTGAGGTGAGACAGTTGGGGATGCGCGGGAATGCGCCTCTCACATGTCGACTTCCAAAGGCAGTGCAAACACGTCTTGACCTTGGTGAAGCAGCAGCAGATCATCAGCCCTGCCGTTAGGCGTCAGGGCTACGTTCACCTTGGCAGACCCCATTCTCTCCATCAACCAATTCGTGCTGCTCCACTCTTTCAGCGCGGGCCGATCATCCACGCATCCTTCTATCAGCACCGGGCTGCTGCGCGCTACCAGACGCGAGAATTCCAATGCGCTCGGCGGGCGAGAGAGTAGAGGAGGCCATGATGATGATGAGGAGGAGGAGTCCAAGGGAATGCCCAGCAACTCTCGACCTTCCTTGGAGAGGCCCAGACAACTGTCCACGTAGTCCTGCTCCGTAAGCGCGCGGCTCATGCGGAGCGAAAGCTGTGAGGGACAGCGAAGTCAAGACGAAGCTATGAGGGCGGGGGAGCGACTTGACGTCGGAGTCAAAAGTGGGAGGATGAGATGGAGCGACGGGGGGATGGGGAGTGAGCAGCGTGATGCAGAAGGGGAAAGGACACATGAACGCTAGCGGGTTGGTTTTGGGCCAGCCTGCCTGCAGATGGATGTAGCAGACGTTGGCCCCGCCGGCCGCGGGGCGCGCGCCTTTGCCCTGTCACGTGTTGACGACAGTAGAGGCGTTTATCGTGTGGAGGGCGGCGCAGCGCGGGGATGGACGAAGCGTTGCGCGTCGACAATTAAGACGATTCGTAATTTTGTGGCTTGAAGCGTGGCACGCAGACATGCAAGAGCGCATACACTTCCCTCCATCCACCTGCCAGCCATCCTGAAGCGGTTCGTCCAACCCTCCATCACACGCTACACTTCTGCTCGGTCTAGCTTCGTAATGGCGACCTCAAGCACTGCTGCCGCACCAGCTTCCTCGGGCGGTAAGAGGGTGCCCAAGCCCATCTCCGCACCTCGAATAGGCGATGTGTGGATCTCACCTCCTCCTTCTCCTGCCGGGCAGGAAGAGCACTCGCATCGACAAGGCAGCGTGCTCCCTTTTGAACAGATCAACGAGGCTAATGCCGCTGCTGCTAGAGCTCAGGCAGAGCTGGACAACAGTGCTAGGACGGCTTTGTCGCAGCGAGCAGCAGGGGGGGCAGGAGGAGGCGTAATCCTGCGCATCAAACGCAAGAGAGGTCAAGAGCCCGTGGATTCGCTTCAGATTGGACGCTTGCTGGATGATGTGGAAGGGGATGAGGTGCTGGATGCATCTGAGCAAGTGCATGGTGCGGACGGGGATGGGCATCAAGGGCAAGGCAGGTCGAGGAAGAGACTGAGCATCATGAGAGGAGTGCAAGGGCATGACAAGTTGCACGCTGGATCGGAAGAACAGAGCGGACTCAAGAGAACATTCTCTAATAGCGCTTCTGCTTCTACGCTGCCTACACGAATAATGCAAAGTGGCAAGCGATCCCAGAGTGAGTTTCAAAAGCAAAGCAGAGGACGACTGTTCTCTGTGCATACATGCGCTTATCCTGCCCCCGCACCCTCACTGACGTCCATCCACCTCGGTCTCTCACAGTGTTCAGACTAGCCGAGACGGTGGACTTGCAACATTTTTCCGATCCCGCACTGGCCAACGACCTGTCTCGCCGTCTGGCCAACTTTTCTCCTCGAGCATCCTCCCCGACACCGCAGCAGAGCACCATCGATGCATCCGGAAGCGCATCTAGTTCAGCATCCCCAGCTCCTCGAGCTACAGCATTCATCTCCACCAAGTCTACCTCAAAACCCCCCACGGGCTCGCCTTTGCGCTTCCAGGTCATACGCAACGAAGCAGAGGCTTTAAGACGAGGTAGTAAGCGTGCGCATGCAGAGGCCATCTCCCCTGATCAGAGCCCCTCAATGTCGAAGATCACTGCGCAAAAAGGCCGGAACAATCTCTCGGAGGATGGTGCGGACATGTCCGTCGAAGATGTTGCCTCGTCTGCGCAAGCGTCGAATTCGGTTCCTAGAAGCTCCAGCAGACAAAGTCTGAGGAGCAGGACAAGAGGGTGAGTGGCCAAGGACCATACGTCAGACTGGCCCCCAATGGCTCTGACCGCGCCCGCTCGGCCCACCGACGCGTCGTCCGTTGGATTTGGTGCAGGCCGGGTCAGCTTCCTGCTCTGCGCAGAATGCGTATCATTGATGCGATCGCGATTGACAGCCAGAGTTCCAGTCTCACGCGCAAACAGCGTCGAGAAAAGAGGCGCGCCAAGCAGGCGAGCGGATTGCATGCCCCAAGACAGTTGCGAGGCAAGAGCAGGTCGGGAACGGTCCAGGAAGCGCGGGAGAGCGACGATGTGGATGCGGATATGGATGCGCTGGACCGGAAATTCGCTGGTCTGCTCGGAGATTATTTGAAAGGTGCGTAGCCGGCACATCGACGCACGTTTGACCATCGTGCGTCCCGAGAGACGCTGACCCCCAGCGCCTCTACTCTGTCGCGTTGCTGTTCATCACCTCTTTGACCCGATCAGAAACACACCTGGAACCGCCTTCAGATCTTGAGTCCAGCATCTCTCGTCTTACACATTCGGAAGGTGTATCGAGCAGGCCCAGCGAGAAGTCTGGACGATCCAACTCGGCTAGCGGTGCAGAGGACTCTCCAAGCGACATCGATTCGGATGAGGATGACTACGTTTACGATGTGTACTACAGGGAATCGGCCAGCATGAGCGGGAGCGAGCGATGGGCTGATTTGAGCAACGCGGGCGATGGGAACAGCCGAGCAGGACTGAGTCCTGCGCCCGTTGCTGGTCACGCTTCGGCCCCGGCGCCGATCGTCACTGGGCAGTCTGCTCAGCCGGAGATGCAGCACCTGTTCAAGCAAAGTGATAGGAGTCAGGTGGCTACGCTGGAAGGGCTGAGAGCGGAAGATCTGATGGAGTGGCCCGACGATGAGGAAGAGTATGATCTGATCGACGTCAAGACGGGCGGACCGGATAGTGCGGACGAGTGGGACGAGGGAGAGGATGAGGATAGCAATGATGAGGGATTTTATCGGTGAGTCGGGTTGGGGAAAGGGGGCCGACAGAGGCAGTGAGAAAGCATGTTGGATCTTCTTCATCGAGGCTGACCTCATTTTGAGCTGTTTCGCAACCATCACGGCACGCAGAAATGATTATCCAGATAGAGACGTCAATTCGGAAGATGAGATGGCATGGGATCAGGAGGAAGATGATGATGATGATGACGATGATGATTACTGACTGCGCAAGCGGTAAAATCGTTGTGCTCTTCAAAGCCCCTCGAAGCTATCGCCCGCTTTCCGACACGATTAACCGGCATTGTGCTGCTCTGTCGAAATGTCAGACCGTACCATCACGATAACCAGAGTAAAATCATAAACGCGGGCAAACCCAGCTAGCTGCGCTAGTAGTACGAAAAAGTCAGAACAATGAGCCAAGGCTGTTGCGCGCGGTTGGTTGGCGGCGGCAAGTCGAGTCGAGTCGAGTCGAGTGAAGAATCTACACATCACCCGCGCGCGCCCTCGATCGCGTCGAAGTTGAATAAAAACGGACCACGCGCGGACAACACCCGCTGATTTGCTTGCATTTGTATTCCTGCACTGCGTCAGTGTTTGCCGTGTCGGACTGTCACGTGAACGCAGATGTCAGGGTCAAAGTGTTGGACTTTATTTCAAGGGAGATAGATGTTCGATTGCATATATGCCGCGCGCATGTGAGACGCCGCACAGGCTGCTGTTGTGCTGCCAGGGTGCTGCTACTGCAGCTATAGGCCATATTTTAGGCTATATATATTCAAAATTGACGATTACATATATAGCTGCAAGCGAGCTCACGAGCGCGAGGCGCATGCATGACATGCCCGGTACGCGCGCAGCATAGATGGACGCGTGATCGTGTTGCATGGATTGTGATTCAGGGGCTTTGCCGCGAAGACAAGTGAGCTGCTGAGGGCCCATGCAGCAGCAGGGGTGCGTGTGGTTGCGCTGGTGAAGGTGGGTGGGGTGGTGCAACATGCAAGGGCCACTCGCTCACTCGCTCACTCGCTCACTCGCTCACTCACACTCACACTTTTGCCCTCCCTCACTCATCACCACACACTCCTTGCTCAGGGATCGAATTTGGAAGCTAAGAGAGAGAGAGAGAGAGAGAGAGAGAAAGGAACAAGAAGCGTGACACGAATGGCTATTCGACGCAAAGCTGCACCTGACACATCCTTCGCCCTTGACAGCCGCATCAGCATCAGGATCGAGTCCAAGTCCTGCCTACGCATCCATGGCTTCACCTTACACACATCATCCCGACGCGGCAGGGGAGCCTTCGTCGCCTTACGACGCTGCCCCTTCTCCCTACGCAGAGTATGCAAACTATGCGGATGAGCATCAGCAGCAGCACGCTTCTGCGGTAGGAGGCACGGGACACGCGCCCGAATTATCCACCAGCTTTTACAACGAAGCAGCGGCTGCTTTGGCTGGACCTGCTGCTCGAGCTTCACCTTTTGCTGCTGCTGCTGCTGCTACGAATGAGCAGGGCAGAGCATCCCCTTTGCAAGCCAATTTGACATCGCTGCTTCAGAGCCCTTATGCCATTCACGCCCACGCCCACGCCCACGCCCAGCAGAGCAGCACGCCCAATCCTTTCGAAGAGCCGCTTCCTGATGCTCGGCAGATGAACATGCCCATGATCAGCCCTGGCAGCATGTACGATGACAAGACGGAAGTGGATCATACGCCCATGCCCGCTTTGGGCTACGCTTATACGCCCCGACAAGAAGGACCTTTTGCTGATCGTGCAGCAGCAGCAGCAGGTGCGAATGCGGACATGGTCATGGACAGGGAGATGGATATGGATGGTAGAGGGTATGCGGGCGGATACGACTATGCTCATTCTGGACCTTATGATCAAGTAGGCGGCGGCGGCGGCGATGCAGGTGGTTTGTATGGCGAGAAGGAGGAGATGCATTATGCCGGATCGGACTACGATTATGCAGAGGAGGAGAGGCGTTTGGACGCGGCGGATTTGGAAGGGGGCGACGAAGAGAGGGGAATGATGAGGCATGGTTTGAATTACGAAGGCTTGCATTACAGCAGCGATCAACATGTATTTGCGGCAGATGGGGCGACAGAGACGGGTATCGCTCCTGCGGAGACGATGCACTTTGGACCTGCTCCTGCAAGGGGCGCTCAGTTGAGACGCAACAAGACCAGAAAGGCGGTGAGTGCGCGCGCGTGCGGCTCAGGCGGGGACAAGTTCCGAGACACGGATGCCGTCTCTCGTGGATCAAGCATCGTACTGAAACCTTGATCGCCCCCCGCAACGTGCAGGTCAAGTTGACCCAAGGTAATCTCGTCCTCGATTGTCCCGTGCCCACCAAATTGCAATCCTTCTTGACGCGTAGAGGAGAGGAAGAGTTCACGACGATGCGCTACACTGCCGTCACGTGCGACCCCGACGACTTTGCGGCGCAGCATTTCAACTTGCGTCCGGCGATGTACAATCGCCATACGGAGATTCATATTGCGGTGACGATGTACAACGAGGATGAAATACGTGAGTTAGGCGAGGCAGGTGCTCGGACATGCGGGCAAAAGAAAAGAGGAAAAAGGTGGGGCGAGAAGCTGAGGCGGATCGTATGCTTTCTCTTTGGCCCTTTGCGCGCGCGCAGTCTTTACGCGCACGCTGCACGGCGTGATGAAGAACATTGCGCACCTGTGTTCGCGGCACAAGTCTCGCACGTGGGGAGCAGAAGGATGGAAAAAAGTGGTGGTCACAATCATTGCGGATGGACGCAAAAAGATCCATCCAAGAGTGTTGGATTGTCTGGCTGCGCTGGGCGTGTATCAGGAAGGAGTGGCGAAGAATACGGTCAATGGAAAACAGGTGCAGGCGCACGTGTACGAGTATACGACGCAGCTCAGCATCGATAGCAATCTGCAATTCAAGGGCGCTGAGAGGGGTCTTGTACCTACTCAGTGAGTATGGCCCGGCAATATACCCATGCGAGGCCGTGTCGTTGGCTAACGATTGTTGCCCTCCACAGACTCATCTTTTGCATGAAGGAGCAGAATCAGAAAAAGGTGCGTATGAGTGGGAGCAAGGAAAGCAAGTCTACTCACGTGCTGACGCGAGTATTTCGCTGCGATCCTGCAGATCAACTCTCATAGGTGGTTCTTCAATGGTGAGTGAGCGGTCTGCTTGCAGTTCGAGACTCCCTTCATGGCCCGCCTGATCGCTCCGCCGTCCCAATCGCCGTTCTTCCTGCTTCAGCTTTTGGCCCTGTACTGCAGCCCAATGTTTGCATCCTCCTCGACGTGGGCACCCGTCCCGAGGCCAAGTCCATCTACTACCTTTGGAAGACGTTCGATCTCAATTCCAACGTTGCGGGAGCATGTGGCGAGATCCAAGCGGATACTCGAGGACGTTGGGGTTTGGGACCTGCCCTGCTCAACCCTCTGGTGGCAGCTCAAAACTTCGAGTACAAAATCAGCAATATCCTCGACAAGACTACGGAGAGCGTCTTTGGATTCATCTCCGTCTTGCCCGGCGCTTTTTCGGCGTACAGGTACATCGCCTTGCAGAATGATGAGCTGGGAAGAGGTCCGTTGGCCAGTTACTTTAAGGGAGAAACGATGAAGCAGGCGGAAGTGACGTTTAGCCATGCTAACATGTACCTGGCTGAAGATCGGATCCTATGCTTCGAATTGGCGGCAAAGAGGAACGATCGATGGGTGCTGAGATATGTCAAGAGCGCAAAGGGAGTTACGGATGTGCCGGATTCTTTGGCCGAACTCATCTCTCAACGTAGGAGATGGCTCAACGGCTCCTTCTTTGCTGCCATCTACTCCATGACGCACACGCTGCAATTTGGAGAGTCCGGACACGGATTCTGGAGGAAGTGTTGCCTCTATGCAGAAGCGCTGTACAGCACCGTCAACCTGATCTTTGCTTGGCTGTCGCTGGGCAACTTTTACATCTTCTTTAGACTCCTCACCACCAGCTTGGAGAGCAAGGAATTCGGACTAAAGGGAATCGGTATCCTCAACACGGGCGCGCAGTACGTTTACTTGGGAACGACGATCAGCTGTTTCATCTTGGCGCTGGGCAACAGACCTCAAGGATCGCCGTGGAAGTTCTTTGCTGCTGCAGTCATCTACGCCATACTGACGCTCTACATGATGGTAGCCGCCGTGCTGTGTCTGGTCAAGGCGGTCAAGAATAGCCAGCACGATGCCATCTACAGTCAAATGGTCTTTTCCGTACTGGCGACGTACGGAGTATACTTGCTCAGCAGCATCATTGCGCTCGACCCGCTTCATCTCATCACCAGCTTTGTGCAATATCTTCTCCTTGCTCCAAGCTACGTCAACATCCTCAACACCTATGCTTTCTCCAATCTGCACGACTGTGAGTCATTTTTGAAAGAGAGAGCATGCATGCATGCGATTCCGGTCTGGGTGACGTCCTGAACGCTCAACTTGCATCCTCAAACAGTCTCTTGGGGCACAAAGGGTATCTCGACGGATGCCAATGATCTGGGTGCCGTAGTGGCTACGGGCAAAGGTACCGTGGAAGTGATCTTGCCGACAGCTCAAGCGGACATCGATCTAGTGTACGACAAGGCGCTCAGCAATCTGCGCACTCGACCCATGATCATCCGCGGCGACGCCTCGGCCGAAGCAAAAGCCGAAGTGCGACTAGACTTTTTCAGGGATCTCAGAACTAGCGTGCTGCTGCTTTGGAGCTTGAGCAATGGTGTGCTGGCCGCTTTCATCCTCGGCGGCGATAATGTGGGAACGTTTGACCCTGGATCTGGAACGACTAGGAGCAAGGTGTACATGATCGTCGTCCTCGTCTTTATCGGAGCTATGAGCGTCGTCAGATTTGGCATGAGCACCATCTTTATGATTCATAGACTGCTCGTCGGATAAGGCCCCCCTCAGCGCGATGACGGAACGATCAAGAGCGCCCCGATCATGCCCCCCTTTCAACGTGCTTTGTCCTGCTTTCGCCTTTCGTAACGAAATCCCTTTCACGACTTGCGCTTGCTACTGCCCCACGCCTCGACTCATCCTCGCTTCATTTCCGGCCTCCCATTACCCTCGTGCTAGCTCATCCTTCCGCTCGCGTCTTGGCATTGTACTGCTCTCTCTCCCTTACCTGCTGCCCGCTCACGTCTCTCTCTCTGCTACGGACCATCAATGGACAATGGAATTGAAGACCACTTGCGCAACCTCTCTTGGCACTCGTCGTCTAGCGCGCGAGAGTGGCAAAGCCGGGAATCATCGCACTAGTGATGTGATTCGATTAACGTGGAGGTGAATTGCTATATACTTGCTCGTCGTCTTCTGCGCGAGCCATTCCATCCTCGACGACGCCTCGTCACGCCGCTGCGCGAGCCGCTGCATTGCCAGAGAGGCGACGCTTCTTTTGTCGCTGAATGTAATGATCAAAGCTAAATTTTTCCGGCAACCATTCGCCATTGTTGATGACGAGGATCTTCATGCGTCTATGATACTTGAGACCGGACAGAAGTTTGGGCGTGATCAAAAAGTATTGACCTGCGTCGTCCTTGCACGTCACCTCGACCATTTGATCGTGCACCATTCTTTCTACTCGCATGTCCATGCCTTGGTTGATCTCGTCGACGAGGGAGAAGGGGCTTCGACTGAGCTCCGTCAGACTCATCAGGTACAGAATCGTGGATAGAGAACGTTCCTGTCGTGGAAAGACCAGACGTGGGTCAGACAAAGGCCAACAGCTCAAGCGCATCTCATAAGCACTTACTCCACCAGACTGGCGCTGACCAGTCAATGGTTGCAGCTTTTCCGTCGCTCTGAATTTCACCCAAATGACTATGCCCCACTTGGCATAATCCTCCTCTCTCTCCAACTTAACTTCACCGTTGCAGTTGATGCCTGCATAGCCGCAAAGGGATTTAATGAGCGCTGAGACGGTGAGCATCGTCATGGCATTCGGCCAGGCTCACGTTCAAATGCAGCAGAAAATTTCTCATTGATGCGCTCGATAAGCTTGTCCAAATGAGTCTCGTAACGAGGCTGGGACAGAGAACGAGCGGTTCATCAGTGAGCGTACGAGGCTCGAGCTTCGCACGGCGCACTCACGAGAATCTTGTTCAAATTGCGATCGTTGCTCGCCTTTCGACTATTCAAGCTGGATAGTTGCTTCTCAAGTTGGTCGATCTTTCGTGGCGCGAGCAGTGAATGTGAGTCGATAAGCACACCTCAGCAGCTCTCCTGCAGCAGGACTCACCTGCTGCTTTCTCGCCTGATACGCAGCGATCACGCCTTCGTTGACACCAGTAACAAGATCGAGCTTCGCCTGCTCATTAGCCAGCATGTCTTCCAGATCGACGACAGATCTGTCATCCTACGAACAAGATACGATGTCAACAAGGGCGACGCAGCCGGTGGTGAAAGAGCTCTGCAGCAGACTCACCTCTCTCTGCAAGCGATGCACCTCATCTATCACCTCGGCATCAGCTTCGTCCACCAGCCTCTGAGCGTAGGTCATCGAGTCCATGGCTATCCTCTTGCCCTGCTCTAGACGAGCTCCCGCTGAGAAAGGGCGAGAATGGGCTGCATGAGCCGCCTGACCTAGCGCCACGCAGTCGCGACGGTTCGTGTATGCTCACCTTCATCTAACAATCTCTTGGCCTCGCGATGAGACCTCTGATTCTCGGCGATCAGATTTTCCAGAGCGACAATCTGACCGCCGTGTTGAAGCTGCTCCAGAACGGTGACATCGATCCCTGCGCGTGCTCTCATTTGTGCCATTACAAGACCCTGTGGGAGCGCTGCCAATGTCAACGTGTGACCAAGCCTGGTGATGATGTCAATGATTCCGACACCTACATGGACTTCTTTCGACCTTTGCAACATCCTTTGAACCGTCCTTTTCATCTCTTGATCCAATTTGGCGAGCTCCGCCTGGGCCGTAGGCCTGCGAAGCTCAGTGTGCAGAGCCTTGCGTTTAGTCTCTGCAGGATTGAGCGGAGCCCGCGAAGGTGATGAGTCTGGTGCAGACGTGATCCGACTCGCTACAAGCAACGCACCCAAGTCGACTTTTGCCCTTTCCCATACATATCGCGCGTCGGCGATCTCGTTTCTAGCTTCCTCCACTTCGGCCTACCGAATCGAAGCAATCGTGTTAGACAGTCTCGGCGGGAGGAATGCTCGAACCCAGACTCACCTTTCGCTTCTCCACGCCCTCGAGTTGCTTGTCGAGTGCAGAGGACCTCTTTTGCAGCTTGCTCGCCTCCGCCTCGTTCTTGGACATCTTATTGGCAATGTCTCCCATGAGCTTGTCGAGGCGGAGTCGCTCGGGCACGTTGGCTGCCAATCACAATCTTTCAGCATACTGGGACGAATGAGATCCCAGCCCTGCGCTAGACAACCACTCACCGGAAATGCTAAAAGAGCGCGCTGCTCGGATGCCTCGCGACAAGGTTTGGGCCACAGTCTTATCGTAATTCGATTGCTGGATGGTATGGTTCGTGTTTCCCACAATGAAGCGCTTGAACTTGCCGCTTCGCTCTATCTGCTCGGCGTTTACGCGTCGCTCATCGTCCGCAACGGGCTATCGCAGTCGGACGCCTCGAGCGTCAACAGGCTGTGCACGAGCTAGAAGCGCACCTACTCACGATAGTATGAAGCTGCGATTCTTTGCAGAGATAAGCTAAAATTGGCGCGGGGCCATCGACAAGGTCGACGAGGAAACTGTGGAAACCGAGTTGCTCGAGCTGTTGCTGAGAACAAGGTCGCTGATACTCTTCCATCTGCTTCTGACCTTCAAGTTCGACGACGTTGAGCCGCAGCTTTTGCTTGTCAATCAACTCCCTAGTAAAAAAGTCGTAGTCTGCTCGAGTTTGGCAGACAAAGGTCTGCGGCACGGGCGAGCAGTGGCGATGATGCAGGCAACACAGTCAGCTAAGCCTCGAGGACGACCAGCCAGGCGACCCACTCGTTGGATTTGCCAATTGACACAACTTTCTACCGCGTCCGCATGTGACTCGGGATCTCTGACGGAAAGCTCAAGCATGATGGGCTCATACACCTTCTCTTGGAAAGCGCCAGGATTCTCGCGAATCCACTTGACGCCCTTTGCGGTCCCAGAATCGGCTTTGGCCAAGACGGCTAGCCTCACTTCTTTGACGTTATCGACTTCGGCCAATCTGCAGGAGAGCATAACGACCTGGTCAGCTGCGATGCACTCAAGGTGAGTAGAAGGCGACTCTGGAATTGCTCACTTGCGTACGCTGTCAGTCTTCTGGGCGTGCAACGTCTTCGAATCGTTCGCAATCTCATCGAGCGCCTGCGAAATTTCGGCCCTGTCTCGCCGAAAGCTTCGGATCTTTTCTTTGATCTCACGCTATTGGGAGACTTCGCAGCGTCAGAAGCCGTGCCTAGCGCTCGCGGATGTAATGATCACTTACCAGCTCTCGATCCAACGACGAAGTGTCTTGCACATCCGGCTCCTCTGCCGTCTCCTGCTCCAGCGCTGCAATCTGGGTCTGAAGAGTCTTGACATGCTTTTGACGTTCTTCAACCCGTCGCTTGACTGAGTCTCGTTGCTCCTCTACGTTGCTGAGGGCGTTGTCCTGAGGTCGGTGAAAAGTGTGCATTAGCGCAGAATCGGCAGCAATATCAAGAGCAGTGACAACACACAAGATCTGTGCACTCTTGTCTCCGCCTCCTAAAGACGGTCATGTCCTTCGTCAAGTTGGTGTGGAGCGTCTTTAAGCGCAGATCTAGTTTTTGCTTCTGGTCTTGAAGCTGCTCCAGCGCATCCATCACCGGCCTAGCATCCTGCATGAGGTTCTCGTGCTGTTTCTTGCGTTTGTTGCGCACGTTCTTCAGCCGGTCGTACTCGCGCTTATTCTCAGCATAGCGCGCAAAAGGTATGCGAATCTTCAACAACTCGACCTAGGAAGCAGCCGAGTGGCGCACACGCGTCAGCGATTGGGCAGACAAATCAAGCTACACGCTCGTACTGACCTCCTTTTCGATAGCTCGTCGTTCTTCGTATCGCCTGACGTCGCGCTGGAGGACCTCGTTCCTCTCACGCAGATTCTCAATCTCTTTCGATTCTGTCTCGATGAGCTGCTTCAATTCTCGATCCGCCTGACCAAGCTTGATGAGCTCATCATGCCATTCCGTGAGTCTGGGTTCACCAGCGGCACGTTGAGTTTCCCGCAGCAATTCCGGAGGTTGCATCCTGGCAAAGTCGGCGACTTTGTCCTGTGGCAAGAAGGAGCACAGGTTCTCGATCTGGATGTGCAGCTGGCGAGTGCGCTCCATGATCTCCTTGTGCGTCGTCTTGCTGCCGTTGAGGTACCACTCCGACTTGTTGTCGCTCTTCGTGATCTCCCTTCTCACTACGAGGTTCCGACCCCCAGCACGGCCTTTCAGTTCGATCTCGATGGTACCGTTCTCGTAGCCCTGCTTGACGTATGCGGCCACATCTCTAGCCCTGCCGAGCACCGCAGGCTTCCAGCCCAAACCAAGGGCGATGGCGCAGACTACGGTAGACTTGCCCGTGCCGTTGGGTCCGATGATCATGTTTAGATGCGGACCCGGATAGAATTCGACAGCATCGTACGTGACAAAGTGTTCGAGCTTGACGCGCACGATGGATCCAGGCAAGTATCTGGTCGCAATCCAAAGCGCAAACATACATCAGCATCCGGCCACTTGTCTCCCATCATCCCTACGACTCTCACCCGTCAGAGTTGCGCTGTTCCACGCCAAAAGTCAGTGTTCCAGCATCTGCGGTAAGATCCGCCCCATTCCTTGTGCTTGATGGTGCAGGTTTTGTCTCTGCCTCATCCTCATCCTCCGCCAACTCGATTGGCTCTTCCAAGCGTTGGCGCTTCTGGGAGGCGAGCGACATGTCGGCATCGGCTGCCTGATAGCCGCTGTCATCCGCATCATCCTCTTCGGTCTGTTCCTGTTCGTCACCATGACCCTCGCGCTTGAGATTGCTAGTCGACGCGATCTGGGCCGCCGATGCCTCCTCAGCATCCTCATCATCCGCAGATTCGACTATACGACGCTTTGCACGATTCTCTCCCGAAGGTCGAGCACTCAATCTGCGCGACACCGCCTTCTCTGTGGCTTTGGATTGGCGTGAGCTGCGCCTAGAGCCAGCGACTTCCATCTTGGCTTGCAAGGTGCCTGAACGAATGAGTCGATCGGGGGGCCTCCGACTCTGAGCGGAAGTGCGCGTGACCCGATGAGAGGTTGCGAACCTCGCCGGGCAGTGAGAACGCACGCAGCGGAAGGGCGCTCGGAAGCGCTGCAGACAGCCTCTCGAGTGCAAGGCAAGTGTCGAGAGAGATGGTAACGGAAAGGGGGAAGAAACGAGTGGAGACGTGGCGATGAAAATGCGAAGAGGGATGTGCGACTGAATGAGTCCTGGGAGAGCTGACTCACGCATCTCTCTGCCCATCCCTCTCTCTCTCATCAGCTCATCCTGCGCGCCAGGAGCATTTGGCGGGAGTCGATGAGTGGCTGCGCCACAGCTCAATCTACGCGTCGCGCTTCGGCCAGACGCGCTGCCCGCGGGCCATGCCGTCAACACGCGCTTCATGCACGTGCGTCTCATCGTCATGCAAGTGTTGGTTTCGTCCACAGGACGTTGTCAGAGTCTGTGGTCAAGGTTTGAGCCAAAAAGCCAGAGGGTCAGAGTGATCATGATGCTTTTGTATAACCAACGCAAGGCTCGCTACCTCTGTTCCAGACAGTGCTACCTACAGAGGGACGGTGCTTCGGATTCATTAGACTGCATCTTTCCTTTCAGGCAGTCGCGAGCTGGAGCATGCATGTGTGTGCACATTCATTTTCAGCATTTCTGATGACAGACAAGCGTCGATAAAGGCTTTAACATAAGATACGGAGGTATGGGAGAGTGGCCAGACATGTCCCATGAGTCAGATGCTTGCCATTCCCACTCTCCTCAGCGTGAAGGCGCAGCGAAAGGATTGCGTCCAGATACAGCTCTGCCAAAAGCTTTGCCGGCCAGCGTGCGCTTCGATCCACATTGCATGGCCTCCATGTCGCTCTGGGGCCAGACTGGATGCCCCGCAGTGCGCTGGAGGCAAGCCTTCGACGTCTCCGATGGCGCAGGTCTCGCTGGCTCCTTTTTGGCACTTGTGTCTTGAATCGGAGTGATGCAAGGCCTCGTCAGCAAGATCGAGGTGGGAGCAGATGATGACGCTGGTAGCCCCTCGGCGAGCTCAGTGCGGCGGTCCTCGCTAGCACTAGCTGCAGTGCCCGGGACGGAAGAGGGACGGGGAGGACTCGAAGATGAAGTTGACCAGCCAAATGATGGCAAAGCTCTTCTCTTGCGGGAGATCATCATTACCTCCTCCTCCTCCTCCTCCTCCTCGTCCGACGTCCCTGCGACACGTGTAGTATGGTGCGCAGGCTGCAAAGAAGTTCCTGTCGCCCTCGTACTGTCTAACACAAGTCGATCGATGTCGGAACCTGTGCTGCGCTCCATGATAGCATTGGAGGAACCTGAAGTTGAAGACATGCCCATCAGCCCTGCAGGTTGGGACTCGCTGCGAGTAAATGGCTTCTTGGCAGTACTGACGCCGAGTGCTGCTGCTGGCCGACCTACTGCGGTCCGTCCAAGCTTGGTCGAGATGATAGAATCAGCAGCCTTCGAAGGCTCCAAGAGCGGAAGCTCGGGGGCGGACACGCCAGACGATCGCCTGGACGAGTCTGCAGCCAGCGAAAGCTCTGACATAGGCTGGGACTCGGATCTTTTGAACACCGAGCCAGTGCGTCCGTTTTGTTTCGCGGACGACGCCCGAGCAGACAGGGATTCCGCCAGGCTTTGGCTCATGCCTGTGCTGACAGACCTACTCTTGTCGAGCCTTCGAGCCGGAGCCTTCAGTCGGCCCAGGTTACCATGTCCCTTGGCGGATCCGGGCGGCGGCATGAACAGCGTCGGACCTAGTTGTGTGGACAGAGCTTCGCGCGAGCTGACATCGGGCGTGTTCGATCTGGAAGGTTTTCCGCTCATATTTGAGGTGGCGAGATCGACTGCAGTGCAACTTGCGCTCTTCTCCCAGCTCTTTCGACCCCTCGCAGCATTTCCACCCACGCTGACTTCTCTAGCGCCGGATCGGCGCAAGTTCGCGGAGCTCCCTCGCAGGCTGCCTCGGTCCCTCTGTTGAGATCGAGATTCAGTCCTGAGTGCATCTTCCAATTTCGGCCGTTTCGAGGCTTGTTCCGCTGCCAGAGCTGACTGCTGCGATTCTCGAGTAGTGTTGAGGGTGACAAGATCAGGGACAGAGATACCAGACTGCCTTGACCGAGGTGACGAGCATTCGCCCTCCTTTACCGCATGCGCATTCGCCATCTCCTTTTGATCTCCTTCGGAGCCCTCTCCCCTCTGGTCAGGTCTGGCAGGCGTGCTCGCGGCGTACGAGGTCGCGAATGCTCGAGCACGAACAAAGGCGACCTGACGAGGCAGCTTTGCGCCAAAGTAGGGCTTCATGACATCCTGCCACAGCCATTGAAGATCATCTCTGATGTCCTCTGGCTCTTTCGGTCTGGCTGCCGAGCCAAACTGCGCGCCTCTATTACGCACCATTGTGGGCGTGTTGCAGGAAGCGGAAGGCCGACTGGGTGTCAGCCCGAGGCCCAACTCCATGCTGAGCGACGTCGTCACACCCAGCAAAGCAAGGCGTTCAGCGACAGCCTCAAAGCGATGAGCCAAGGCAGCGGCGTCTGTGCCAAGGCTCAATGTTGAGGGATTAGTCCCGCCTGGCGTGCGTGGCGAGATTGTCGACGTTTGTCCCGCCCATGGGAATCCGGCCGACGACCCCAATCCGGCAGTCCAGCGTCGAGCGGCGTCCTTTCTCTTTCGCTTCGTCTTCGGCTTCAGCTTGTCGTCATTTTGCTCCGATCCGACGCCTGGCACTTTCACTTGTCCATCAGCGTGAGTCAGGCCACCGCCAAGCTCTTGCAACGCCGCCGCTTCAGTCGCCGTGCTACAAGCTCGCTCCGCTGGTGGAGGGGCGACAGTCTCGACGATAGGGTGGTCGACGCTGATTTGAAGCAGACACAGCAGCAAGAGAGCTTGCAGCTGGATCCTACCACCAAAGGCGCGATAGCAGGCTGATCGATCAGCATCATGTGGTTGGCAGGAAAATTGGCGATGAACCGGCTGTGGACACTCACTCTCGAGCCTGCATTGCCTGAATCCATCGCCTTGCCTTGGAGCCATGGCGACTTGCAGCTGCTGCTGCGCCGCCGTCTTTTGGAGTGTCGAATGCCACCTTGTGAGCGGCGAGGTCTCTACTCTGAGCAAGCATCTCTTGCTCCTCCGGCTGACTTGGCCTTCCCTGCTCTTCTTGAAGCTCGCACTGCCTGCGCTCATCCGCCAAGCGTTCCTGAAGCTCCGAGTTAACAGCAGCTCCCGGTCCCGACCTGAGCGCCTGCCAGATGAGTTTTAGCTCATAAGCGCCGAATGCATCGCTCGCTCCGTCGTTGTGCTCCACTCCTGCAGCGTTCGCCGGAAGCACAGCGTCCGCCCCTGCTCTGTGCAGTCTCATCAAGCGATCCGGCTTCATGCCATCTTCCCATTTGCGCGATGTCTGCTCGTGAACGGGGTGATTCAAGAGGAGCTCAATGAGGCTAGACCTTATCTGCTGGACGTGGAGAGCTCCGGCCTCATGTTGGTGGCCCTTGCAGTCGAGCGGATGCAGAATGTATGCCATGAATGCGCCGAAGGGTGAATGAGCCTCGCCCAAGTAGAGGCATTCCAGATATCGCGCGCTGATTGAAGAGCTGCTCAGCACCTCGCATGTTGGCCTGTTTCCCTGCACTTTGACATCGATACTCTGGTCCAGGGACGAGCAATCGACATGACAGGCAGCGTCGCGCAACGAGCCCGGCCAAGGCACGGGGCAATCCAAATCGAGAGTGATGCGAGATGTCGAAGCTGTCGAGCAAGCGGCTGCTCCGCACATCTTCGCTACGCCAACCTACACTTCTTCTCGACGTTCTGTGAGGCATGTGGGGATGAGAGGTGGGAGACGACGAGAAGTTGTTCAGATCTCCGATGACATGCAGTGTCACGCCTTTCAGTCTATAGAGCAGCGAGTCTCAAATAGAGTAACGAGTGTGAACGAGTCTTGTGAGTTGCTCAGCTTGCCGCGTCGACCAAGCAAGCGGCATGCTCCATGCGAGAGCAAATAAGAGCATGCAACCATAGCGAACCAACGCTGCGCGCGCGTCGCGTGACGCGCTTCACGTGTTGCGCGACAGATGATGCTTGCCTGTGTGTAAGCCCAGCAGGCGCCCATGCAGCAGCAGCACCGCCTCTGGAATTACGACTTGCGAGTGAAGTCAACGATGCGAGGTAGTCGTGAGTCTGATGAGTGAGTCTTGAGTCTCGAGTCGACCCGGCACACCAGTCAGAAGCGGATAAGGAGCTGAGACGCTCTTGCCTTGCCCAGCAGAGAAGCTCCTGGGTGCTCTCTATTTCGGACTCGACCCACAAAGACAAGGCTTATCAGGCAAATGCAAAAGAGCACGCCATTATAACGTTGCGCACGCTATCGCGCTCTCCCATGGCACGCACCTCAGGCGAGGCGATGGGCTGAAATCGAAATGCAAGGATTGCAAGTCTCAAGTGCTGTCAGCGTAGTGTATGATTGTGTTTGCGGATGACAAGGGTCTCGAGGCGAGAGTGGTGCGAGAGCGACGCCGGAGCACGATCGATCAGAGGGGCAAGTCCAATGTCTGCAAGATGTATGATGTGCTCAGAAAGCCTCCTCTGCGGAGCGTCGAACAAGTTGGCGGACCTGTCAAGCGAGCGGGCGTCAATGCTCAAGCACACATTCGCGAGACTGTCGAGAAATGCTCACCTTTTTTCGGTAGCCTTTGATGTCATCACGGACCCTATCGAGGCACGAGAAAACAAGCTTGAGGTCAGGTATCCTGCAGCGTTGAGATGAACGCCAGCGGGCCACTCACTGGACAGACGCGTCGATGTTCGCGGGTGATTCCGTGTCTGGTGTCTCCGAGGACAAGAGGCTGATCACAGATATCAACTGGTAGGCAAGGCCCAGTAGGTCAGCATTCGGCAGGAAAGCTTTTGCAACAATCTTCTAGCTCAAGCTCACTATAGTCTCTACAGTGTGAACAGGTAGCCACCTCTCTCCAGCATCCTCGTAGCCGTACTCGTCTGCGCCAGGAGGATGCTGTGCGTCCAATGCAATCGCGGGCCGTGTCAGAGGGGAGGCATCGAGCAGGCAAGGCTCCAAGCTACTTACGAGGATTGAGATGCACAGCGTTCCGTCTTTGTAAACTGCGATTGTGAGCCGAGAGGTGCACCTGTCAGTCTCGAGTACCAACGCAAGCAGCAGCCGGACCACTCCGGTGAACGCCTCTCGTCCGGGCCGATCTAAGCGCAACTCCAACTCCCTCCCCACATCCTCCACACCTCGGCCAAATCGAAATGCGCTCGTCCTACTGACCATTTGGATGCCACATTGGTGTGATGAACTTCATCTTCGGAGGCATGAGAGGGTACTCGGGCGGAAAGATGAGTTCAGCCCTCAAGAAGCCCCCTTCGTACAGCGTGTCTGGGAACGTCAAGGCGGATGGGAAAATGTGAGTGAAGAGCTTTCGCGAGTCGCCTGCAGCGTCAAGACCACGTCGCAACGTCTCGCGCCTCACCGTTCGGCCCAATGATCATGATTTCCCATTCGTACAGATTGTCATCATCCTTGAGTCCAGCGCTGAAGCCGTCCACGGGATCTAGAGTCCGTTCAGAAGCGGAAGCGGCTGTCAGCTCGCGTGACTCGTCGCAGCAGAGTGACCAGATGGAATGCTGTCGACTTACGCTTTCGGAGCTCCTGCAGCTGACGCTTTAGCAGCAGAGCGTTGCCCGAAGGCGAAGACGTCATGCTGGTCAGTAGTCCTGATCCACCCGTGGCAAAGTACCCGAGAGGCGAATGTATGCGCTGACTGAGGTATCAGTTGACGACGCAGCGATCGGCGGGAGGCTGGCTCGGGCCAATGGAAGTCGGCAAGAGATACTTCTTTGAGCTGAGATCAAAGATGCTCGAGAGGTCTTCGCAGGGGACTACACGTGACGAGTCGAGGTCGCAAGCTTCACGCAGGAGCGGTCGGAAATGTAGCGCCTTCGGCAGAGGGGGTACAGAAGTTCGTTGGACAGGGCGTAGTCGATGTTGGTGAGTGAGCGAGCAAGCAAAGGGTCGATCGAGTGATCTATACACAAGAACAAGTCGTCGTATGGTTGTGGTCGTCCCCAAGCCTGCATGCGTGAACTAAGCACCAATTAACAAGATCACGAATTTGGATCGTGTAGTAAGTACCGTACCTCATCAATCACCATCGTGCATGCAATAACGACTCATCAGACGTGCATGCGGCGTAGCGCCGTCTCTCCCCACGAGACGGAGAAAGGTCACGTGACTTGACCGCACGGGTCGTCTTCATGAGCCTCCTTGCCCCTCATGCCGTTATACAGCCAGAAGAAGGCTGCTTGCTGGCAAGCAGCTATGGCAGCATTCCTCACTATCAAGCAGATCAACTTGAATTTCTGCTTCGCGTCCGCGGATGTCGATCATGTCTCTGATTTGCGCTTTCCATGCGCGGTGAAGGATGACGGCGGCGTTCACTTATTGCAGAAACGACCTTCTTCGCTTTGGTGTGTCCGAGTTGCATCCACAAAGCAAAGCCAATTCAAAGGATCTTCACGCCACTGCTACAACATCACCCTGACGCCTTCTTGGTAACGGCTATAGGCACGAGATCACTTCAGGCATGCATTCTCGCGAGTGTCTACAAGAGACATCCGCACGCCCTCGCACAATCAGGGTGGTGTCGATATCCCAGTCGTGATGTCCATAGTCTCTCCTGCGAGCACCCTCACTCCGCATTCCTTTCGCCGAGAATCGTGCTCAGCCTGCTCAGGACCCTGGTGCGGTCGACATCTTCCTTTTTGCTAGCAGCGCACTCGGCCTCGAGGTCCCATTCCAAGAACTTCCTAGCAATCTCTTCCGCTCGATCTGCTTCCGCGCGACGTTTGACCATCCCTTCTCGCAATGCAGCCGCAGGAAATTTTCCGCGCGCCGAGGAAGTCAGCGAGCTTACACTCGCGTCATCGTGCGCTTCCAATAGCTCCTCCTCATCCAGCAAAAGTCTGTCAAGATCGCTCGCTGCTGCAAGCTCAGCGACATATCTTGCTCGATCCACGAGACGAGGCGGCAGCCCGGCTGCACGCGCACAAGAAGCGACTTGCGAGTCGAGGGCTTCGCCCGATGCGACCCTGTGCACCCATCGCGAAGGTCAGCCTCTGTCATTCGATTTGGTCAACGCAATGCCGACACACTTGTATAGGAAGGTGACGTTCCCTCCTTCCTGACCTTCAGCAGACATGGTCTGCATGCACGCCTTACGGAATGGCAGAGTGGTTGGCAGGAGGTTCTTCGCGAATACGTCTGATTGGTTTCATGGGGTCAGCCTGCGTACAACACAAAGTCTAATTAGCGCCAGTGTCTGGCTCACCATGAAAGTGCGTTATTGCGAGGCTGCGAGGGCACTCCGAACCTCGGCTCAAGAGCTCCCAGCAGGTGGCGGCAAACAGAGCGGCGCCGTCTGCACGACGCAAAGCTCTTGTCAGCCCAGACGGCAGAGATAGGACGCGCCGGGTACCAACCAGCTGCAACCGTTCCTTTTCCCATCTCATCTAGCAAGACCAACGACTTGGCTGTGGCTTGACGGAGCACGCGGCTGACCTGCAGCATGTCGGCCGTGAAACTGCAAGCAGCCCCATCAGCGACTTCGAAGACCTGCAGCGCATCAGCGAGGGGCGACCCACCTGCTGACATGACGACCGACGGACTCGCGAGCCTGTACGCGTGTCAAGACTTTAGGCAATATCTCCATCAGTCTGCTTGCGTAAGCAGCCTAACGCAAGCATCAAGACACACTCTTGTCAACCAGCCCAATGTGAGCAGAGCTCGCCGGTACGAAGCTACCGATTTGGGCCAGGATTCTATTGACGAGGAATTTGCATCCGTCAAGCACCATCCAATCTTGAAGTGCTCCGACAATACTGCGGCTTACACGATGACCGCGTTCTGCTTCAGGTAAACGGACTTGCCGCCCGCATTCCTGTCGAGCCAGCCCATTGTTCAGAAAGGATACGTCGCGGAGGCTCCGATTTGCAATGCGTTTACTTACGCTCCGGTGAGAACGACGAGGCTATGGTCGTCTTCGGTGTCATTTGCACCCTCTCCCAGGCCGCCGACAATGGCGATATCGTTCGGTACCTTTGCGCGGCACATTTAGTTAGCATCGTTGATTGCCATCTTCACCATCTGCCGCAACGCTCACGAATGTCTCGACGCAAAGTTCTTGTAGCGGATGTCGACCATCTTGGATGTCCAACACTAGCGATGTGTCCAATGTGGGACGTACATACCCGTAAAGTGAAGCGCAAGCTGCGAGAGACATCAAGCTGCGGGCCAAATGTCAGCCTCACGCGTTAAAGTCAATCTTTGCAAGGCGACATTGACCCACCAATCCAGCTCGCAACAGACGGTGTGCGCATGTACGAGAAGGGCCGCATGGCTGCTGATGTCCTCTTGAAGCTGATGCACCAGTTCGATCTCTCTATCGACTATGAAGGTGCTGATATCTCCAACGTGCGCATTGAGTTCTTCGGTCGTCTCGTTGCGCCAGTAGCTAGCAATCTCGCTCGTGAATTCGAAGAGCCATCCCACTGATGCAGCTACCGCAGGAAGATCGACCGCGTCCCCATCCGCGGTGGACAAGGCGACCAAGTATCCCATCTGGGGAAAGTATACCACGCTCAGACTGCAGTTGAAGAGGTTTCAGTGAGCACGTGCGGTGCCTCAACATGCAAGCCTTGATCAAGTCAAGCATGCTTACCGTGACCCCAAGACCGGCGGACTATCGTCACGAAGTTGTGTTGCGACCTGAGAGAGTAGCCTGGGCAGACTTTGGAACTGGTCTTTCCACTCGTCGAGCTGATCGTCGATGCCGCGGTTGACACAGCATCGACGCTCGGTGGCACTGCGGGCAGTATAATGAGTTCCATGAGCGTTGTTGAGACTCACATTGAGGGTGGGATGCTGGCATTCTCACCTTTCCTCCCAATCAATCTGATCAGGTCCGCCAGGATTGGCGTCAGAAGCACGTCGACGCGGTACGGAAAGGTCAGACTCACGATGCTCTCTACGTTGTTGATGACTCTTTTGAGAACACGCGCGTCAATCGCTGTGTCGGCCTTTCTCGTGGGTGGAAGGGTACGCGCAGCATGAGCACCGGCTTACAATGGAGAGCACTCGCCGTGCTCCCACCTTCAAGATCACATGGACGCTCGCGGCAGCCTCAAGCGATCGCAGACTGTCTTGAACTTCGAGAAGGGCCTTGCAGTACTGCCGGAATCGACGTCCATTGCATGGTAACAAAGGGTAGATGGGACATCAGTCTTTGTGCGCCTCCACCCAGTTCGTATTCACACGTACGCGCTTCACGGACCTTCACGACGCTGCGAAAATGTTGAACGGCCGCTGTCCCTTTCCGCAAGCGCAGGACCAGCTTAGGCACAGCTTTGACGCTTCTCAGAGCTCTAGAGATTGATGCGACCGCTTCCACGTTCCTGGACATCGAGAGGCATTCGACCGCGTCGTGGCGCATGCTGAGCAAGTTCAGATCGCAGCTCGGCAGCATAAGCCATCGACGAAGAACGTGATGCCCGTCTTGCACGAAAGGGTGCGCTGTAGATCAGCCGGACTAGACAAGAGTGGAGTACGCCTTGAGAACTCACTAGCGGTCTTTGTCTGATTGAGCAAAGCTGCACGGAGTCGGGCGATGAGCCTGGTCAGTGAGCGAGCTACTCGAAGCCAAGAGATGTAGAGACGGACAAAACAGGCTCAACCCCTCCTTGCCGCGGTCGCTGTGGAGGGTGGCGTGCTGCTCTTCTTGAAAGACGCTCAGAGCCAGGCGAGAGTCTCCATCAATGGAGAGACAGTGATCCAGACTGAGCAGCTCGATGCTCGTAACTGGTACTCGATCGTCGAGATCACCTCCTGCAGAGAAACTCTCGGAGGAAAGGTGCTTCAATAGGGCCTCAGCAGCCATGATCTATCTCTTAACGTCAGCCTTGGTGGAGACGGCGTCATTGGGATAAATGGCTTCGCTCACAGAGAGGGTCATATGGTCCACGTTGATCATGCTGCTCAGCCGCAGCGAGATCGCCGAGTCATGCAGTTGCGTGACAGCAGAGCCGGTCGATTCGATCAAGGGCAGGCTCAAACCAGCCAGTCGACTCTTGCCAGCATTAAAATTGAAATTCTTCTTGTCGACCAGTTCCAGCGTACCACCTTGCTCGCGCACTGTCATATTGGGAATGGCAGCCACTACTCTGTTAGCGCTCTGTAAAGTGATCGTATTTGTCTTGCCCGATGCATACATGCTGCTTTGAGAGTGTCCATACATGTCACTGAGCAACTTGGCGCGACGAGGACGCGCTGAGGGCGCAGCTGCTCCACGACTATGGGTAGGTGAGAGAGAGAGACATGTGAGCCCGCTTTCTCACCCGCCAGCAAACGCATGCACTACAGCGGCGCACGCAGACTGGTAGTATCCACCATCTTCTCTTGTGGAGCATCCACGCTCCGGCTCGATCCTCCAGTCGAATCCATCGAATTGTCTTCGAGCGCATCAAAGGGCGCAGTGCAGCCGTAGTCGACCTCTAGTCCGGCCTCGGCAGTATCTTGAAGTAGCAGCAGAGCGCGCTGAGGAGCGTCAAAGAATGCAGCGCCCACTTGATGTTTGGAGGTGAACAGCGCCAAAGTTGGCACTGGCTCCACCTCGCTCTCTGCATCTACCGAGAAGCGTTCCTCAGGCGAGGGGTTATGAGCGTGGTGAGAGCTGCTGACTGTTTGGTCTGATGCTGATTGGGCGGAAAGGTGAGGTGCGCGGGAGTGAGTGGTGGATCCGGACTGCGTGGAGAGGGTGCTCGCAGAGCGAGGGCGCGCTCCTGCGAAGCGCTGCGAGCGTGCAAGCAAAGGTGAGCAGGTGAGGGCGAAGGAAGGCAATGTCAGCATTGGAGCAAGCACAGCCATCTTCTCTGAACAGAGTTGGGTGCTAGACAGGCGACAAGCCATCGAATCGCACCGCTCGCTTGTTCGATGGCGGTCCCGACTTCGGCATCTTGCTGGGCGGACTGTATGCGTGCAAAGCGTCACGCTCGTGTCAGCGACCGATCACCAGCGGCAGAGCAAGCTGAGCATGGAAATTTTCAAGTAACCTGTGATCTTGTCTTGTGTTCGTGAAGGCACCTTCTTGATTGCTGGAATCACGAATGCGAGTGATGGTGACTAAAAGGCAGCTGGCATGCATCAAGCAGCAGCAGGAAGGCGCAGCAGCTCGCTTCGATCAGCAGAGGCAGCTAGCTGGTGCAGCGCTCTTTGATGCACCCGCCACGCGCGCGCACCTGCTCGCGCCCCGCTGACCACGGGCCGCTTGGGATCCAGCAGGCATAGTCAGTTTCGAATCCTGTGTGTGTTCAGCACGTATAGGTACAAGCACAGTCGTGATTTCACAACGACGCGGCTTCGCGAAAGCCAACACCACAACGAGAGCAAAAGCAGGGAATTTGACCGAACGACAGAAATCAAGACAGGGCAAGCAAACCTTTTGGGTACGCGAACACGCAAAAGTGCACGGTGCGCCACAATCACGAATCTCATTGCGGGGAGGTGAACAACGCATCCCGCACAGGGGAAAAAGAGCATTGTGAATTGGATGATGTTGACGGAGGAGAAAGATTGCAAGATGTGCAGACCAAAAAGTCAATCGAAGGACGCAAGGAGCATTGTACGTAGCTCACTTGTTCAGCGTGATGACGATCGTATCTCCATCGAGCAAGTTCCAGTGGGCCAGGGTCTGTTTGAGCGTAGCGGCTTTTCCCGCAATCCTCAACTTCATCTTGCTGACTCCCACCTGCGCATTCAAGTTCGTCGCGTGCACCCTATCTCTGATCTGTCCGATGGTCGTCTGCGGTATCAAGCCCTGCAGCACCTCTTCGTGCCCATCGCACAGCGGGCTGATCTCGGGCGCATCGGGCAGGAGGACCTTGATGCTGATGGGGTACGGGTTGTACCTCAACCACTCGTGCTCCTCGTACAATTCCCCAGACGATTTCTTTGGCAAGGAATTGACTTGAGCGGGCGCTTGAGGTTGATGCTGAGCCGGATAGCCAGGAGGCATGTAGGACGGTTGAGGAGGCCGAGGAGGTTCTACCATGCGAGGACCAGTGGGAGCATTGACCGGCGCACCTGGTGGTCCCATGGCCGAAGGACCAGTTGGAATCTGACCAGCAACGCCGGGAGGCGGCGAGCCTGCAAATCCCCCAGCAAGCGGTGCCGGAGAAGCGGACCCGAGATTCTCCGAAGCTATCCGTTGAGCGGCTGGCTGGCCAGGCGGTGCTTCCTCTGCAGGCCTCTTCAGCGAGCCCTCGCTGGCATCCGGCTGAGCTGGTTGAGAAGGGTCAAAGCCTGCAGCTGGCGCTCCATAAGCATATGCACCTTCTGGAGGCTGCACACCGTGCTGACCAGGGAATTGAGGTCCGATGTTACTCTCCACTTCCCCAGCCTTGAAGTTACGATTGATGTTGGCCATGGTCTGCTCGACCTGTTTGGTTTGATTGAAGGCATCTCGGGTAGTCTGCCTACTAGCGATGTGTCCATCCCAAATGATCTTTTCCCTCTCCTTGCGGAGTCTTTGCTCCTCTGCGTCCCTCCTCCTCCTAGCCGCTTCTTCCGCTTCAGCTCCAAAGATGTCCGTCCGATTGGATGCGAACTGCTTAAGGGCACGTGATGGATCTGCACCTTCCAGCAAGGCTTTCTGTTGAGCTTGCTTGGCTTCCAGATCCCGCCTTTGCTCCCTGAATTTCGGGTTGAGCAGCTCGAAGCGCACATGCTCGTCCATTTCCGATATCGCAATCTGATCCCCACAGACCGGACACTTCGTTGTTTGCGCCACGGCGGCATTCTTGGCCGCGAGAGATTTTGGCACGTAATCTTTGCGCACGCGTATAGGCGCTTGACCCTCTGCTCGCTTGATCTCCTCGTACTGTACAGCTGGCGCCTCTTCTACCGCTTTCTCGTCACCGCTATCGTCGTCCATATCCATTTCAATGTCTCCCTCATCTTCTTGTGGCACGCCAGCAGACGCTTGCAAGCCTAGCATGCTAGCTCTCTGCGGGTCCATACCAGGCGGTAGAGCGTTCGAAGCAGCTTTGGTAGCGCTAGCAGCTCCAGCCCTTGCAGCGTCTCCTGATCCACCAGGGATGTCAATCATGCCGCCCATCAGCTCCGACTCGTCTCCTCCTCCTTCAACCTCCATGATCATGGCTGCCATGCGCTTCTGAGCGATCGTCATGTTCTCCACGTCCCGCAGAGACATGGGGGGCGGCAAATCTATGTGCGCATCAGTCTCTGTCAATTCGACAGTCTGTACCACCACAAAGTCTTGCCAATCGATCGAGTCGAAGAGGGCTGGAGTGAGGCGGAAAGGGGCGACGTGTAAGCAGCTGAGCCTCTCGCTAAAGTGAGAATCTCTGATTGGATCACTCACCTCGCTGGCTCTCCTCCTCGCTCTCCTTAGCTTTGCGCCTCTCCCTGACCCACCTCTCATACTTGGCCCTCTTCCTGGCATTCTCCAACACCTTTATTCTACCTCCTCCTCTTCCAGGACCCAAAGCAGGCTTTGGCCCTTCGGGTGCAAGCTCGTGCAGCTGCTCTAAAATATCCTCCGCCGGTTGAATGACCAGCCTGTACTGCTCTACCATCCTGTTGAAGTAGCCAAAGAGCGAGTGCGATGGGCGGAGAAATTCGAACTGATAAGAAGAAGATTCTCGAGCAGCAAGGGCAGATGCGAAAGATTTTCCCTTGCGAGCCGTGAACAGCGCTGTGAGCTTGAGCACGTCACTGTATGCGGTGACGAGTAGGTAAGATGAGGCTGTGAGTTCGTGATCTGAATCAACTGGATACGCAGCGCGCTACACACTCACAGGTCGACGGCGGTGATGTTGGGCAGATCAGCCTCAAAGAGATGCTGACGAGGCTCTTCAGGTTTCAGCTTATCCTCTCTGCCCCTCTTGCCCGCATCTTCCTCCTCCATCGTCTCCACTCCATCCCTAGCAACCAATTGTCCCCTTTCCGCGCCTTGTCCAATCAGGTCCTTGGCCAGCGGTCCATCTCCGCTCTGCACGAATTGGATCTTAGCCCTGTAGTAGGCATGATACGCATCTTCCGGGTTCAAGAATGCGAATTTCGTATTTGCCCTCTCGTCTCCCCTGATCTTGGCCTCAAATTGCACGCCGTTGCGCGCCACAAAGGTGGCAGTCTTGTCCACGATGGAACGAATATCGGGAGGCGGGTAGATCACTCCGCCCGTGCTGAATTTGGGCGCAGCAGACGCTTCTTCGGCCGTCGACACTTGCTCGAGCAACGGTCCAGAGCTTGACCCTGCTTGTGCTGCTCCGCTCAGCGTCGTCGCTTCCTCGACGTCTTCGACGCGTGCTGCTTTGCCTGCCTCTGTAGGTGCGCCATTGGAAGGCGGTGGCAGGTTCAGGCCGGGTGCCATGATGAGCGTGACGACGTCGGGGTGGACGCGGTGTCGCCGAAGTAGAATGTATGCGCTCGAAGCCACTCAAGAATGGGCTCGACCCGCTCCTTTGCAGGGTAGGGGATGCGAAGCAGAAGTGGTCAGCTTGAAATTTTGTACCGTGATGAAGGGCGAGTCTTGCGTCGGGCCTCAACGATAGCACGTGGCAGACACAGGTCTGGGGAGGAGCGTGTCTGACGTCTGGTCGACCTCGATAAAAATGTGTGCGGTGAGGTTTGGTTTCGGGAGGCTTGCGTGGAAGACCGCTGCTCGTCTCTTGCGCTGTATGTTGTGGTCGCTCGTACGCCTGCCCGTCACGCGTTCGAGCGCTTTTTTGAAGGAAGCCACGAATCTGTAGTGTGTGCGAAACGTCGCGAGTCAAGAGTCAACACGAGTGTGAGTCTTGAGTTGCCGGGAGCGACGACGGCACGCAAAAGTTGGATCACGTGACTCCTTCAATTTGCGCGGCCACACCAGAAAGAAAGCTCGCGCGATGATGAAGGCGATCTCTCGAATCTTGAATGCCAACCTTGGTGGAGGAAGCGGCTGCTGCTTGACCGCCTCATACTCACTCACTCACGAATCGTGAATGTGCGAAATTCGCTTCGCATCGCTGGTGCTCCGACCCTTGCGCTTCTTGCCGTCGCCCGTCACCTCTCGTTCGGACTGCACACCTGCTGATCCACCCGCGCATATTCACCTTCATTCCCCGCAACTCAATTGCAGCTTGCACGTCCGCACACCTTCGCGGTCGCTTGTGAGACGATCAAAAGGATGGCTCAACCTTCTCGTGTACACTACTACGCATCTCGCATCGCTCCGTTTGTTCTCCTCACAGCATGCACCTCTGCCGCACTCAACACGACTACTCTTCGCAAACATCGAGCAGCCGATCGAAAGCTGCACGAAGTTCAAGTCAGATTTCTTCGAGATCTCCTAGACGACGTCGAAGATGGTGGAATCCGCGCGTCCGACATTGCTGCATATGGTTACGGCACTATGAGCACATCAACAGCTAGCACTAGGCGCAGCAACGAACGAGCGTACGAAACAGACTTGAAGAAGTCATATGTTGCTCGATCCATCTCTCTGGATCCCTCGCAGCTCTCCTTGCCTGGCATACCCAGCACCTCTTCCGTGTCCTCTCTCTCAACACACGAACTGAGCTGGAGTCATATCATCTTTGGCGAACGAGGCGTGGGGGCTATAAGGGAAGGGATCCACAAAGCTACGGGCAAGATCAGAGAGGAGTTTAGCTTCGGAGGGGCTCGGAAGAATGGGGAGGCCGGTCAGGTCGACCGGGCTGCTACGGCCAGAGAGGAGCAGGAGGAGTGGAACAGAGGTGAGTGCGAATCGAGCGCGTGTCGTTCCAGGCAGCAAGAGTAGCGCCCGCGCGGATTCGTCCTCGGGCAGCTCGGCTCGGCTATGCTAGGCTAGGCTTCCACTCCACTCGGCCTCGAAACGTGGGCCTGCCCTCGAGCAAATGGCGCATGTACGCCCCATATCATCTCGGCGCAAATCAAAAGGCAGACAAGCTGACGTTCGTGCTGCCTCTCACACCTTGTTCAGAGATCCTCTCCGATCCTTCAACTAGCGGCACTCCAATTCCATCACGTTCTCAACCCCTCGGCGCGAGCGCGTCTGACGCAACACATCGCATACCCCAGCGAGGCATCTCAACGGGATCAGACGAGCACAGGAAATCGGGCCAAGCAGCGAACAAGTCGCCGAGCAGGGATGGGAGAGAAGCGGAATCTCTATCGGGGGAGGCGGAATTGGAGGCGGAGAGCGCTTCCCGGCCGAGGACGTTCTATTGAAGTGGCAAAGATGGAGCACACGATCAATCCGCACACCAAGACGTGCTGGTCGAGAAATGAGCGCTGATATGTGTGCGTACATCTCAAGCCTGCCAGGCTGATCACGGAGCATGCGCGAGCGCATTCCCGTCTTGCTTTCGAGGTTTTGACGACGAGTAAGGCTGTTGAGCATTTGGTCATTTCGAGCAGCTCTCCGCTACAGTCGACCGCACTGCGTCAAGTGCAGCGCGTACGTGGCAAGGCAAGCTAAAGCTGATCCGCAGCCTTGAGCGCAGCCTCGGGTTCCCAAGCTTTGTAAATCTCGCAGACCCTCCTTTCTCTGGTTACGATGTACTCCGACGAGTTCACCTTGTTTCGCCAGGGTGTGGACGTTGCGTGTTGGAATTCGGCAGACGAAGCAAAGGCAGGATTGATATATTCTGGTGGGAGGCGCATCCGCAGCAAGCGAGCCAAAGGGTCAGTCGGTGGTTGCAGTGATAGACGAGCAGAAGTCAGGAGTGCATTGCGAAAAGGAGACAAGACCAACCGAGTGCATGCTGAATCGCTACGGCCGATCTTTGCCGTGCCACGTCGATTTCTTCTCATCCCTCTTCGCGCCGCACCAAAACGTTCAAAGCCCATCCCTGCTCATTCCCGTCTTCGCGCACGACCAGGACTCACCGCTCATTGCGAGTACTCTCGGTACTCTGTCCGCGTCTCCCTGAACCGTATCTTTGCCATTGATTACCGCATCGACCAGCTCGAACCTACGGGTTCTTTTCCAGCCCGGCACTTCAGCCAGCAAAGCAGAGTGTTCCTCGTCGTACCACTGTTCGTACTCTTTAGCTTTCTCCGATGAGGCCAAATGTACCGAAGTGAGCACGACGATGGGTGCAGCGTCCGACGAGCTTTCTGGCGCAGCAGGTCGAGCCGCGGAAGAGGCGCTTGCACCCTGAGCGCTATCCCAAACCAATCTGTAAATCCTTCGATCCAGCACTCCGATCCTTCCTATCAACTTTGCCTCTCTCTCGCTCCGATTAGCTCTCAATGAGGTGTACCTCTGCTGATTGAAAATGTCGTTGGAGCTGATGGAATAGATTGCTGCCCAGCGAGAATCGAACGTCTTGCTCGCATTCGCGTTCGCATTCGCATCCGCAGCGGAGTGGGACGTGCCATTGCTGTACACGGAGGAGGAGACGCTGTACCTCGCGGCGCTCAGGAACTCCGCAAATCGACTCGTGCGAAGTGGCACGTGCTCGTTGTCGTACCAATCTGGTAGAAAATGCGAAGCGTAGCAATGGATGTCAGCTCAGTGTCGCCAAGGGATGAAGTTGCCGCCCCACACGACCCCGTTGCGTGTTTGCTAGCACTGGGGCGCAAGTGAGTCGCTTTGCCGCCCTTCCGTAGCGCATACATCCCGACCCACGCGTGCATCTCGGTGTCAATTCCAACACCATTTCTCGGTGACCTACAACACCCCCATGCGACGCACGTTCGCGCTCGCACCGACTCTCACCATGGAATTCTTCCAAGGAGACATGCTTGCCTGGATCGGAAAAGACGAGCAGCAGACCTTGATCCTCAGCTTTGTAGTCCGTCATATGTGCGCGCAGTATGTTGATTCGATCCTCTCTTTCTTTCTGGATACGTCTCCTGCGATACTTGTGAGGAATATGAGAGGTGGCTTGCAGAGGGTTTGGAGAGGATCAGTGGATAAAAAGGCATGGATGGGATGGGATGGGATGGGATCGGATCGAGTTGAGTTGAGCAAATTCGCGCCGCACGCTCCTCGAACGCGCTCTCGCGATGCGGCAAAGAGATTCTCCGCGAGATGGGAGTGCGAGTGCGAGTACGTGCGGGGAAGGGCGCGCGCGACCCATGCAGCATAGCGTGCGCTCGCTCAGGCATGCACGATCGAGGTGAGCTCCGATCGGAGCTGGTGCGCGGTCCGAAGAATTAAATGAATGCATTCAGCGAACGCGGCTGCACGGCGAAACATCGACAGCCAGCTAGAAGGACGCCGCAGTGGTGACTCGTGACTTGTGAGATCTCTGACTCATGACTCCATCATCACTCGTCACTCACGACACGTACTGGAAGTTATGCTGCAAAAGAGCAGGCTGCTAGCTGTCAAGAGCTTCGTTGAGCAACCACCCATTCTGGCGTAACAGTTCGGCATTGCCCGACACTCATCCGAGCCAGCCAGCCAGCCAGTTTCGTTTTGGATCCACCGCTGCTCCCTCTCCCTCTCCGCCTCCAACGTCCACTTTCACATGATGTCTCTAACTTTCTCCTCCTCCGCCTCCAGTCCTGTCGCGAGCAGCAACATCGCCCTTTACTCTAGCGTCACACCAGAGCAACCACAATGCCCACGCACGCGTCACATCCTTAGCGGCACATTCAACACTCCCCACCTGCATCTCTTGCGTTTCGACACGCTCACTCGGGCACTGACTCTGGTGCATCAAATCTCATCCAGCAGCAGCAGCAGCAGCAGCGTGTCACCTTCTTTCTCCTCATCCACAGCCACGTCCCCACATGCTCATATACCAGAAGGAGCCATACAGGCCAAAGGTCCTCATCAGTTCCTCGCATTGGGCAAAAGCATCGGCTCTGTCGGGACGTGCGACGCATATGCCGGCCCGGGTCCTTCGACTCGCATCGAAGCGCAGCAATCGCGTCCCAACAGGGTGTATGCTACTACGTGGGCTTTGAAGCCCGAGCTCAGCGCTTGGGAGATACGCTGGGATGGGAAGGCGCAGAGTGAGAGCGAAAGACGGGGCATGGACGCGGGTTTCGGTGCAGCGGATCCCTTGGTGCACTTCATCAACAGCGTGCCCATCAGTGAGTCTCAACGCTCTGCTTGAACCCTCTGGCTACTTCTGGTTCTATGCGTGCAGCTTGCTGCTGCCTGTGTGTGCGATCACGCAAGCGACGTGGATGGTGAAAGAAGCTGATGAGACGTATCGCATACATGCCGTCAACTTCTCATCTTGGCTTTCCTTCTCTCTCTTCTCATCAGCCGCAACATCCTCCTACGTCTCTGTTCAACCTCCGCCTTTCTACTCGCTCACTTCCCCCTCTTACGCCCACGCTGAATGCGGCGCTTCAAGTCGATACCTATACTCTGCGGGAGGCCCGAGTGGTGAAGTGCACAAGTTGAACGAGGATGGAAGTATCGCTTCAAAAGTTCAAGAAGTCGTCTTTCTTGCTGAGGGACAAGAAGGGCTAGTGTCAGCCGACAAGACCCGCAAAGCTCTGGTGCGTGGGATGGCATGGGGTGGTGCAGTGCTTCGAGCCAGCTCTTTGAAACCATAACCGTCTGATCTGGGCCCTATGCTCGCTTCACTCAGCGCTACGGCGCACACAGTGTCGACTTCAGTCCAGACTCTACCAGAGCATACGTGGCGGATCTGGGTCGCAATTCCATTTTGGTCTATTCGGTGAACCCAAATACTGGCATGCTGGATGAAGTGGTGGACGAGGTTCGCGCGTTCGATGAAGGAGATGGTCCAAGACACGTCATACCTTCGCCCGATGGCAAGTGGATAGCTAGTGTGACGGAGCACAGTGAGTGCGAATTCAAGTTGCAGGCTGGTTCGACCTGCCTTGGTGGTCCGCGAAATCGCTTGTAGCAGGAGAAGGAGAGAATGTGTCGAAGTATAAGCGAACGTGCAGGAACCCCATTCGTCGGTCAATCAGCTTTGGCTAGGCTTGCCCGGGTGCAGAGAGGGG